GTTAGAGATCCTCTCATCCAAGTATGGGAAAGATATAAAGCAAAACTTTACCAAAAAAACACCGCTTTGGTTCTCCCCTAACGAGGCCAGCCAAATCAAAGGAACAGCAAGAGAAATGTGGTTAACATACAAAGAAGTATTAAAAATCTCACCCCAAGGGTATCTAATCAAGTCCCAAGAAGAACTAAGACGTCTGGACCCCACACTCTCCTGGTACCAGTACCATCAAATAAGAGAAAGTTATAACAAAGACAAACCGATAGGCTTCCAAAAAGAAGACACGATATGTGAGAAAATCCTAAAGACAGATAAAAAACACATCAAGAAAGTATACCAGCAATTATTGACGTGGGAAACGGAAAAAGAACAAATAAAGGCTAACATGGTCAGATGGGCCAAAGATATAGGCCGCTCCATCAAACTGGAAGAATGGGAGGAAGTATGGACAAAAACCCTAAAACTCACCTACTCTAACGAAATCAAGGAAAACTGGTATAAGGTTTTCTATAGGTGGTATTTGACACCGGAGCAGATAGCCAAGTTCAGCAAGGGAAAGATAGAAGGGAAATGTTGGAAGTGTCAGGGAGCCAATGGAGACTATATGCACATGTGGTGGGGATGCAAGAGAATTAAAACCTTTTGGCGTCAGATCTGTGCAGAGATAGGAAAAATTCTACAAAGAAAAATTAAACTAAAGCCAGAGTATTTTTTACTGGGAATCACGGACTTTAAGTTGGAAAAAAATGAAAACAAAATTCTTTTTTACCTTTCTACAGCTGCCCGAATTAAAATAGCGCAACACTGGAAATCGAAGGAGATACCGACGAAGGAAGAATGGATTTTAAAAATATATGACATAATGAATATGGACTTGCTGACAAACAAACTCTCGAACAATCTAGACAAAACCAAGAATACGGACTGGGACGGTTTCCTGACCTACCTTAAAAATACAAAGAACTGAAAGAAAAGAAGAGGAAATACTATCTATAAAACAAAAATAAGAAGAAGAAAACAAGACATATTCATCTAATCTTCACAGACACTCGCGGAAGCTTCTGCCCCTACCCCTCAGCTTACCCCCCCTCACAATATCCCACCCCCACCCCCCAACCTTCCTATACGAAAGTATGTAATGAAAGGACAATMAAGTTAAAACGAATGAATGTATACCGAACCCCCCCCCCCTCCCGGTATGTTTGAATGGAACTCTCCCTCCCTCCATTCCCACACCCTATACCCTATACGCCCCCCCTCGACCCCTATTGCCTTTTTTTWAAATCTTTGTATTTGAAAGCTTAATAAAAACATATTTTTTTWAAAAAAWTATTTATTTATTTATTTATTTGCTTTATTTTTATACCGCATTTTTCAGCCTAAGTCGGCYAAGTGGTTAGCATGAAAGAAAAGGGGGGGGGGYAACAAGCTCAACATGTTTTAAAGATCCGATCTGGAAACAAGAATTACACATTGGATAAAGATATTTTAAATCAATTCAACAAATACTATAAGAAATTATTTTCCAATTATCAGATAAAGAAAGAAGATGTAGTACAATATTTAGGAAAGCAAAATTTACAAAAGTTCTCAGAACACTAGCGAGAAGAACTTAACAAGGAAATAACGTAGGAAGAAATTCAGAAAGCTATAAAGAAATTGGATGTCAGTAAAGCACCAGGCCCCGATGGAATAACTGCCCTATATTACAAAACTATGGAGGAGGAAATAACCCCATATTTAAAGAGAATAATTAATTATGCTTTAAATCAACAAAAGATTCCTGAGACGTGGAAGATGGTGAATATTACTATGATCCATAAAGAAAAATCAGACCTGACAGATATCGACCAATATCATTATTGAATATAGATTACAAAATATCTACAAATGTACTAGCGGAGCGATTGAAAATATTTTTAAATGAGTGGATCAATGAAGATCAAACAGGCTTGTTACCTCAGAGACATATAAAAGAAAATGTGAGAAATAGTCTGGACATAATTTAATACTATGAGGCAAATAACCAAAAAGAACAGGCACTAATTGCCTTCGTTGCAGAAAAGACCTTCAACAATATAAATTGGGACTTCTTTCTGTTGTTAATGAATGAACTGGGCATAGCATATTATTTTATGAATGCAACCAAATCTATACACTCCCACCAAAATAGATATTAATGGTCAAAAAGCCAAAGGATTCAAGAATAAGGGTTGTCCCTTATCCCCCACTATTCTTCATAATGTCAATGGAAATTCTGATAAATAACATAAGAATTGACAAAGACTTGACTGGGACAAAAACTAGAAAAGAGTCATATAAAGGAGGAGCTTTTGCCGATGACCTAATATGTATAGTAGAAGACCCGCTAGAAAACATACAGAAATGGTTCAATAAAATAGAAGAATTTGGGGAACTTTCAGGCTTCAAGATAAATAAGAGGAAAACAGTGATATTGACAAAAAAAGTATTCAAAGAGAGACAAGAAGACTTGAAAGAAATAATAGGACTACAAATCTAAAAAAAAACCCCGAGGCCTCATTATAGCAGCCAAAAAATTCAACTTTTGAAAAATAATCATGAGTCAAAATGGAAAGAAATTAAAAAAAGACCTGAAGAAGTGGAAGATATAAAATKTATCTTTTATGGGGAGAATTGCCGCAATTAAAATGAACGTACTTCCAGAAATGTTTTATTTATTTCAAATTCTCCCAATAATTAGAAATAACCAGATTTTTAAAAGTTGGAACAAAGATTTGATGAAATTTGTATGGCAGGGGAAAAGGCCAAGAATTAAATTTTGTAATTCAACTGATGAGAAGATAAGAGGGAGTTTCAGCCTTCTGGATTTAAAATTATACCACGAGGCCTCTGGCTTGAACTGGATAAAAGATTGGGCCTTACTTACATAAAATTAGAACCTTAACATTAGAAGGTTTTGACCTCAGAACAGGATGGCACTCATACCTATGGTATGATAAGAAGAAAATAGAGGAAAAATGGAAATCATTTTATAATATCCGCAATAATTAAAATATGGGAAAAGTATAAAACCAGTATTAAAAAAGTATAAAATTGCCCCCAACTTGTACTTTTTTGCAAAAGAAAACTCATTTTGGTACCTGGGGGTCACAGAAAAAAATTGTTAGGGTGTTGCATTTGCCTACAGGCCAAACTCTGCACATCTCTGTTCTTTGCTGTACAAGCACTTTCTAGCAGTATATAACCCTGCCATCATATAGTCATGTCTACTTCAAATTTCAGGAGGGTTTTTTTTGTTAAAAATTGCCACAATCTTTAAACACAAGTGGTATTTTAGAATTGTTATGCATGATYGCTTCAACTGTTGCTTGTTTCTAAAATGGTTTTTACTTCTAACCTATAACTTCCAGTTCTGACTGTGAAAAATGAAATGTTCTTTATGATGATGAACAAATTCTTTAAAGGAATCAGTGTGGTATAGTAGGTTGAATGTTGGATTAAAACTTGTTGAGACCAGGATTTGAATCTTTCATATGCCACTGAAACATACTTGCTGACATGGTAAGTCAGAAGGCAACCGAAACCCTTCTCTAAATAAATCTTGCCACAAAACCCTATGATGGTGTCACTATCAGTCAGAGGTGACTTGGAGGCACATAACAACACCAAAAGTCAAATCTATTGACAGTCAAATAAAAGTTTTCCAGAAGCACAAAAATTTGTTGCAACTACTTATTTCTTAATAATTTTAAGTGGTCCCAAGCAATTGTTCTGGAAATAACTTTCCATTTACACAATGTTTATATAATTTGTGTGTTCCCTAGCAGTCACTGTGATTTGTTGGTACTTTGTGCGTCAGACACAAAGAACACAAAATAGTTGCAGATGGCCAATTCTCTCACAACAGAAGCGACTTGCAGTTTCTCAAGTCGCTCCTGACACAACCAAACAAACAAAATAGTAATCAGAGTCTGCAAAAAATTCTAGACTAGAACTCCTGGAATCCTACAGTCAGAAGTGACCACGCAATCTGGCAATTCTGGGTTATAGTCTCAAAGAATACCTTTTCCAAGCTCTAAGTTGATCATATAGCTAGATGTAAGAATCGAAATTCATTCATTTTCAGAATGATTACATTACCTGGACATTTCCATAAGAAAATCACCAGAGGTATGGCCATGATGGATGATCTCTCTATCTCTCCCAATTATTTCATTTTTTTTTCTTCATAGGAGGTCTTGAAATTAATCTTCAGCCCCAAGGCCAGCCTACTGAGAGGCACAATGTCTCCTTGCACTGCACGGCAGACAGACAGACTTTTGAGAACTTGACCTGGTTTAAGCTGAACCCTCGTGCCTCCATGATGAGACTTGGGAGGCTGCCCATGCATGTTTGCAAGAACCTGGAGGCTCTTCAGCAACAGAGTGCCATGGCTTCAAGGGCCAACACGGAAAAAGTCACCATGGAGCTCCTTCTCCAGAACATTTCCCTACAAGATAGTGGGGATTATGTGTGCATCGCACAAGACAAAAAGACCAAATTGAGACACTGTCTTGTCAAACACCTCACTGTTCAAGGTGTGTTCTTACTATTCATTTTTTAAAACATATTTTATTATGATATAAACACAAATTGATAAGTCAAATTCTGGGTGTTACAGGTATAAATCCTGAGTAATTCAACAAATGTTAAAGACATTATGCTAGTTTGCACTGGTGTAAATTATATTTTTCCCTCCCTCCCTCCCTCCCCTCCTCCCTCCCTCCTCAACCACAGTATATTTCTACTAATCTTGCAGATCCAGCCACTGATAGAGTCTTTGTATTTTTTCTTTGATGTAATCATTGGCTCCTCCATTTTTCATTTTCTTGCTATTCATTGAGAAGGGATGCTCTGTCACATTATGATTAGGAATTGACAGGGCTTACAGTTCTTTTTTTAACCACAGCATCCATATGTCTCAGTCAGCATTGTATAACTGCCAACTTAGCAGGGGTTTCTGGGTGTTACCACACAAAAAATAATCTTTCCAGGCTTCAGGGATAGATAGTAGGAATGTGCAATCCATTAAAATGGTTCTGACCTCCTTCCAATAATAGAGGGCGCTGCCGCTTCATTCCTAAAGTCTTTCTGAATTTTGGGTGGTGCATATTTCAGAACTTAATGAAACTTAAGGGCAGTCGCACATACTCAATAAAAAAAGACATCACAGCCTGTGCGGAAATTCAGGGACTCCTATCTCCCTCATTTGTAAAGCTATTGAGGTGAAACTTGTGATAATGGTAGAACACATTTACTACTGGTAGGTCACCAAATTTCAAAATGTTTGACTTATCTACAGATCTTTGGTGAATTTTCAAAGTTTTTCTAAAAAGAAAACATTTTTTTAATAATAAAGAAAATCTGTTTCTGGTTTGAAAGTGTATAGACTTTATTTTGAAAGTCATTATTTTACTCCAGAAACTTTGTTTTTGTGGCAGATACTGTATTAAATTAGTGGAGACGCAACAAAATAAAATGTGCTATATATGTAGCACAATATCCCTTGTGCAAAGACAAAGTTTTTTCAGTGTAATAAACTTTTGCCATGTTCTTATGACAGAACCAAGTAGGAACTGCCATGTATAAGCCAGAAACAGAAATCATAGTACAGACACCATCAAGGGATATCTAGACTGACCCCCTTCTTCCAGGCAGAAAGGCACCATCCAAACTCTCCTGACATCCAATTAATATGCTTCCTTTATTGACACACAATCACATAACTACAAATTAGCACAGATTTATACTATTGCCTACTCCTCTTTGCAGATTCCATGATGTTATATATTATAAAAAGTAGACTGACTCCAAATGCCATGGCTGGCTGCTACAGCCCAATGCATTCTGGGAAATGCAGTTTAGCACAGGTATGACAATCCTCTCTTCCCATTAAATTACTATAAATAGGGAAACTTCAGGGGCTCCTATCTCCCTCATTTTTAAAGCTATTGAGGTGAAACTTGCTATAATAGTAGAACACATTTACCCCTCTTAGCCCATCAAGTTTCACAATGTTTCACTAATCCATAGATGTTTTGAGAATTTTCAAAGTTTTTAAAAACATTTTTTTAAAGAATGACAAGAGTTATCTCCCCCTCCCTTCCATCCTCTGTCAGCCCTGATTGACTGAGAGGCATGCCAACAGACTTGGCTTTTCCATTGACACACAACCACATAACTACAACTTAGCACAGATTTATGCTATTACTTACTCCTCTTTGCAGATTCCATGATTTTATATATGATAATTAGACTGACACTAAACGTCATGGCTGGCTACTGTAGCCCAATGAATTCTGGGAAATGTAYTTTATCACAGGCATATGGCTTCTCCTTGCTTCCAGTTAAATAACTATAAATAGGGAWACTTCAGGGGCTCCTTTCTCCCTKATTTTTAAAGCTATTTGGGTGAAACTTGCTACAATGGCAGAACATGTTTACCACTCTTTGCCTACCATGTTTCATAATGTTTCACTCATCCACAGATATTTTGGTAATTMTCAATTAAAAAACAGTTTTAAAAATAAACTGCAAGAGTGATCTCTGCCTCCGCCTCCCTCCTCCGTCACTTTTCYGCAGGATTTGGTTGCCCTGTGAATTTTAGCTGCGTCACAGCTACTTCCAAAGACATCCAAGCCATAAGAATTGAAGGCTCCTTTTGATTCAAATTCTTAATATTGGGAGGGCAGAAAGCAGGTGCGTCAGAACTCTCTTCGAAATTGCTGTACTTTCAAATAACTTACAACTCCCAAATACATTCGCACCACATGCACACCTCTAACAGATAGACCTGACTGCTTATGATCACTTTCATATTTGGTTATTCCTGAGTTAATTGCATCARATTCACCAATACAATGTTTGGTAATTTTAAAATAAAAAACCTACAAAATTTTACATTATTYAATGCATATTTTAAAATATTTTCTTTCTAAATGTGAATTTTGAATGCATATTTTTGAGTCAACATTTGGGAAGAGCAGAAGAAATGAATTATTACTGTTTTAACGAGAAAGGAATGCACTCCTGATACATGAGTTTCTGGAGAATTTCATTGGAGTTTCTAGTCCAATTGGTTTATAGACAGCATAAGGGTACTGAAGCAAAACAGCTAGACAAATGAAAGGAAGCACTTCTACAATATGACATTGTGGAATTTGTTGTGTAGATGTTGTGTAGTTTCCTAACCTCCAAAATTGGTTCCAACAATTTTTACATAATAGATATACAACTTGCTGCTATTCATGATACTGGAAATAAGCATTTCTGTTACTTCCATACCTTAAGTGGAATCTGAAAATTTCATGACTAATAACTGTGATTCCAAAACAGCTATTTGAACATTATTTGACATTTAATTTTCTCCTTCTCAAATAGAATTGGTGGTACCTACAATTATGGGAAACCTAGAGAATCAAACAACAAGTATTGGTGAAACAATGCAAGTATCATGTGTAGCAAATGGAATCCCTTCCCCGCTCATCACCTGGTTTAAAAACAATAAAACTCTTGTTGAAGACTCAGGTGAGACTGACTATTGTGTCTAGCAGGTTCACTTGTCAAGTTGCTTATGTAAAATTCTTCATTGATTTTGGATATGTTTTAGTTATTTKTTGTGCAGAACGTATCTTTCACATTTCAGTGTTCCCTCTCTGTAATGGAGGTGGCAAAGAGGAGGAGGCRGCCGCTGAAAAGAGTCTCAGCGATAGTGTCCTCCCCCTCACCCCTCCACTGCTCTGCYCTCCTTCCTCGCCAGGCTTGGCGCKAAGCTTGGGCACCAAGCCTGGCGATGAAAGGACCCTACAAGGTATGGAGCAGAGGAGGGGGTGAGGAGGAGGCCGCTGCTGAACAGGGCCTCGATGGCAACAGCTTTCGCCTTGCCCCTCTGTGCTCCTTCCTCGCCAGGCTGGGTGCCAGGCTTGGATGCCTAGCCTGGTGAGGAAGGGACCCTCTAGGGCAGGAGTCCTCAAACCTTTTAAACAGAGGGCCAGGTCACAGTCCCTCAAACCGTTGGAGGGCTGGATTATAATTTGGAAAAAAAAATGAATGAATTCCTATGCACACTGCATATATCTTATTTGTAGTGCAAAAAAAAACCCACTTAAAAACAATARAATAATTAAAATGAGGAACAATTTTAACAAATATAAACTTATTTGTATTTCAATGGGAAGTGTGGACCGGCTTTTGGCTGATGAGATAGGATTGTTGTTGTTGTGTGTTTTCAAGTAATTTCAGACTTAGGTTGACCCTGAGTGAGGGCTGAGTAAATGACCTTGGAGGGCTYTATTCGGCCCCCGAGCCTTAGTTTTGAGGACCACTGCTCTKGGGCATGGAGCAGCGGAGGGGACGAAGAGGAGGCTGCTGCCGAAGAAGGCCTCAGTGGCAGCGGCTTCCTCTTTGCCCCTCTGCTGTTCTGCGCTCCTTCTTTGCCAGGCTTGGGCGCCCAGTCTGATGAGGAAGGGACCATCTGAGGCACAGAGCAGTGGAGGGGATGAGAAGAAGGCCACCGCCAAGGGACACTCCGCTCACTCGAGTAGGCAGAGTGTCCCTACTTCACGGATTTTCATTTATTGCAGGTGGTCCTGAAATGGAACACCCGCGATAAGTGAGGGATTACTGTACATTATTTTTCCTGTCTGATCATAGCTGTAGCATGAGAGCCATCCTTATTGTGTGTTAGCCGTTGTTCCTCTGCTTACTTAAGGAATACAAGAGTCGGCAGGCACGTGAGCAACTCCAGTTCCGGCCTAGTCTGAAAAGTGTATGCTGTAAGCAGTGGATCCTGTCCTCTCAATTGGGAATCCTATTGTGGTAGTTCTCAAATAAAAATGGAAAAAATGGTTCCTGCTCTGATAGTGTGGTACTTACTTACAGAGTGGTACTTACTTACAGATTTATACCTATTTGGAAACTGTGTTTATCCTAACCCCCACAATTGTTGCATAAAGAAACTATGTATTTTGGTGCAGAATAATTTCCTTAAAAATACCAGGTAATGTTAATATTAGGTTAAAACTGCACAAAATGCTGGTCACTCTGTCATTTTTACATTTTCAGCCAAAAACAGTTCCAAATATGGACAACAACTCCCAGAATCCTCCAATGATTGGGGTGAGAGGGGGGCTGGGAGTAACTTTTAACGTTGTCCATGATTGATTCTCACCCCTATTAGCAGGTTTGGGAGATTGAGCCTGATTCAGTCTAAGATCTGCATTCATTTCCCATGTTCTCTTATTTGAGCAAAGATATGGAGGAGGGTTTCTTGAATGTGCCTTACCGTATTTCACACACATTTGAAGATTTAAAAAGAAAACTGACAAAATTTATATGTTTCAATGTCTCCTGCTCAATAACAAAATCTAATTTGAACAAACAATAGCAGCAGAAGAGTAATTGTGGTGCTTCTCTTCTCTGTAAGGCATTATTTTGAAAGATGGGAACAGGAATCTAACCATCCGAAGGGTAAGGAAAGAGGATGAAGGGATCTACACCTGCCATGCCTGCAATGTTCTGGGCTGCACAAAAGCAGTAGCATTTTTTGAAGTGGAAGGTTAGTATTTCTATGCAATGGTAAAGATTTCCTGTGTCTTAGGTTTTCCTCCTTTTATGTTTTATTTGATTCATGTTTACACCAAATACCTATTCTGTGTTCTCTAATAAATGGATTATGCCTAAGTGGCTAAATGGAATTGGGTAAGATGGAAACCAAAGTTGGGTATGCAGAAGCTGTGATGCAAGAAACAAAGCCCATGGAGTGCCAAGTCCAAAGAGAAGACAGACAGGAAAAGGCTAGGAATATGCAAAGTAAACAGAGAGCAATGCTGTCAGATCTATTTTGAGTAACATATTTGTAGTCAAGACTCTTTGCTGCCCAAGTTATAGCACTGGCTCTCCAGTGATTTAGTGGTTGTTACATAGTGATTATGTGATGCAGATAATGTTTTCCCTTTGACATGCTTTTGTCTTAATTGAATTGCAATGTATGAGACCTCTCAGGTTGTCATTCCTGAACAACTAACTCTTTTCAGAGTTTCGACTAGTGACCTACCTCAAACAGATTATCATCTCCTACTAGTGAATTGTTAAATTGTTTCTTCCCAGGGACTGATGAGAAAACAAACCTCAAACTCATTATTCGGGTTGAAACTGCAGTAATTGCCACGTTATTCTGGTTGCTCCTTGTCATCATTCTATGGAAGGTGAAACAGGTAATGAAACCCCTTCTCCCTCTGTCTCTGGAAGACTCAATCTTGCAAGACAAATGAAAAGTGATGGGCCCTCTTTTGTATTGTTTCTTGCATTGTCTTTAAATCAACAGGCATGTTTTTTACTTCTCTTGTTACCATAGTAATACTAATTAGCCATAATCCTACTTTTTTCCAGGCCAAAACCGAAGACCTGCCCATCATCAAGGACCCAAATGAAGTCCCTCTGGATGAGCAGAGTGAACATCTTCCTTCTGATGCCAGCAAGTGGGAGTTTCCCAGGGAGAGGCTCAAACTAGGTATGCTTTGCTTTCATGAACAAATTAGTGACTATCCCCTATCCCTGAAAGTAGAAGCTGCTTTAATGAATATTAGCCTGAGGATCACGAGATGCAAATTCAATGCCCAGTGCATTTTCCTCTGGAAAACAAACCCCACTCTGTATACGTTGACACTCCTGAATCTGTAAGACATTTCTAGATTGACTATTTTCTGGAGGCAGGGCAGATTGAACAAAAGTGTCAAATAAATATATAAGACTAGCTAAACCCAGGCATGCCTTTCTATGGCTCAGTCTGATATGAAATGAATGTGAAAGTAAATAAAAGTATTGTTGTGAACATAGACTCACTGAGGAAATACATCATTCAATTCAATACCCAGCTTGCATTGCTGTGTCTATGTAGAATGAAAGGAAAGGAAAGGAAAGGAAAAAAGGTTTTTACCAGCAACCATTTTTATTGTAAAGCTAGTGGATTGACTACATTTTTGGTTTGTCTGTTTTCTGCATAAACATAAAGATCAGACAGTTTACTGACTCTGGAGCATGCAACATATAAGTGCCTATGAGAGAAGCAATTGTTCTCTAAAGTCAAACTGCACACTTGCAAAGATTGCCCCTGTGCTTTATTGATAGTCATGGAGAATGCAAGGCACATTGGAAATTGAAGTCGTTGAGATAGGCATTGTTTGTTTTTGGATGTGTGGTAATATAACTTAGGAAATCTGATCCATTGTTTATTAGAAAAATGCCAGTGTAGATGATCATGGGGGGCCTATGTGCCCAATGTGGTCCTGGCCCATCATTTGTGACGGTCATAGTGGTCATTTGAATTCAGATCCAAAGCAGGTAAAGTACTGTGTATTCCATCATCTTTTTTTTATTATTATTAAACTTTATTTGTACCCCGCTAGCATCTCCCGAAGGACTCGATGCGGCTTACAAAGGCCAAGGCCTCGACACAGCATCGTGGAATCGAGGGAAACCTTCTTGAGAAGTGGGCGAACCACTGCCTGTTTCAATTGAGATGGAAAAAACCCCTGTTCCAATGATGCGTTAATGAGCAACACAAACCAATCTACCAACCCCTCCCTGGCAGATTTAATTAGCCAAGATGGGCAAGGGTCTAGAGCTGACGTGGTCGCCCTCACAGCCCCAAGGACCTCTTCCACGGTCTCAGGAAGAACAAGCCTAAAAGAATCCCATAAAATTGGACAAGCAGATGCCTCAGTCACCTCCCCTGGCACTGTGGTGAAATTGGAGTCCAGCTCAGAGCGTATCTGAGCAACCTTGTCTGCAAAATGGTGCGCGAACTCGCGACACCGAGTTGCTGGGTCATCAAAGGACTCCTCCACCACCGGCGGATGAAGGAGTTCCCCGACAACCCGAAACAACTCCAACGATCTATTTGCTGCAGACGCTATACGGGTAGTCGTGAAAGATTCCCTGGCTACCCGTATAGCCACGGAGTATGCCTTAAGAGAGGCTTTAGCCCGTGTTTGGTCAGACACGCTTCGAGATTTCCTCCATCTGCGCTCTAGCCCCCTTCTCGTGTGTTTCATCACAGTCAGCTCCTCGGTGAACCAGGGAGATGGTGTGTCTCGACGCAACGAGATGGGGCGTTCGGGAGCGATCGTATCTATCGCCCTGGTCATCTCCCTGTTGTAGTGATCAACCAAGGCGTCGACAGGATCGCCAGGCTCCATGGCAGGAAGAACCCCAAGATTCCTCAGGAAACCATCTGGATCCATCAGTCTCCTGGGGCGGACCATCTTAATTTGTCCACCACCCCTGCGGAGGTTAAGGGTCGCAGAAAGTCTAACGCTGACCAGATAATGATCAGACCATGACACAGGAAGGATGTTTTGTTCTTCCACTCTGATCATTCCACTGTCCGCTACAAAAACTAGGTCAAGAGTGTGACCAGCCTGATGGGTGGGTCCAGATATAATTTGTGACAGTCCCATGGTCGTCATGGCGGCCATGAAATCCTGAGCTGCACCAGTCAAAGAGGTCTCGGCATGAATGTTAAAATCTCCCAGCACAACCAAACTTTGGGAGGCCAAGGTCGAATTGGAGACCACCTCTGCTAGCTCAGACAGGGAAACGGCTGGGTCGCGGGGTGGACGGTACACCAGCAGAAACCCCACACTGTCACGGTTCCCCACCCTTAGGTGAACACACTCAAACCCAGCTGTTTGCGGAACAGCGCATCTGGCCACGGCGATGGATTGCCGAAAGACTATTGCGACCCCTCCTCCCCGCCCCCCCAGCCTGGCCTGCTGATGCACTCCGAAACCCGGTGGACACAGCTGAGTAAGATTTACTCCCCCCAACTCGTCCAACCAGGTCTCAGTAATGCAAGCCAGATCTGCCCTCTCATCCAGGATCAAGTCCTGAATGGCAGCGGTCTTACCATTGACAGACCTGGCATTGATCAGCAGGACCTTAAGACCGAGGGGACTGCCATGGGGCCTACCACTTCCTACCTTCTCCAGGGTCGCAAGAACTCTATTGCGCTTCTCCCTGGGATGTTGGTGACCAGCACATCTCCTCCCCCACACCACCTGAATGGGGCCCCCCTCCTCCGGAACTCCCTCCCCCTCCACGTTGTTGGAATCTGTGGCTAGTCAGCTTTCTGAGGAAGAAAGGCTGGAGTATAGTTTCCCTTGGATTTCATGTAGGGATGTTCCAGATGTCGTGCTAGGAAGCGAGACATCAGGAGAGCTGAGAGGACTGAAGAGAGGGAGTGTTCTTGGARGGGAAAGGGTGGCCAAATGTGTAGGGGCAACTGGGGCAGATGGGGTTTCAGATTGGTATGATCCTGGAGGGGGGYGCCCTAACCYGGGAGCTATTTGTGGATTTATCACAGGGACCTGATGACACAGAACAAGAAGGTACCACTGTGACAACAAGGGGGCGAACATGAGGGTCCACAACTACCCTCCTGATGGTAATGCCCCAATGCCCCAATTCCTTAGGCAGGGTCGAATTGRCAGCAGRTCGTCCAGCCATGAGTTGTCTTCTGGTGTAACTAGAAGGCAGGTAGAGCGATCAAATGATTGATAGTCTCTCCGCAGCCAAGTTATGGSTTTCAGTCTTATTTCCCATGGTCTTTTTGACAGGATTTGGGCCAAAGAGTCACAAACCACCCTCCTAGAGGTCCATCTGCCTCTGTTGATCAATAGATCAGCAATTTCCACCGCAAAAGTGTCTGTTCTCAAAAGGTGTTGGTCTTGGTCACAGCCTGCYGTTGGCTGAGCAACAGAGTCTGGTGTTACATTCCCAGTTGTCCTTTGAGGGTTRATGGGCATTACKTGCCCGTCCAAGATGTTCTCCCTCCCAAGCATACGCACAAACCCTCCCCCTCCCTCAGGCAACTCACCATCCKCCCCTCCCTCCAACCCAATGTCCAAAGTGCCTTTATCTTCATTTACACACAAGTCCTCAGTCAAAACTGCACATGGGGGATTGTCTGCACTTGGGAGATCAAGTTGCACAGGGGCTCTAAGAATGAGGGCAATTCCTTTAAAAAGGTGATCGATTTTCTCATTCAGAGTCTTAAGTTGTGATGACAAAAGATTAAATGATTCTCCCAAGAGGACGCACAAGTGCGATAGATCGGTCTTCCCATGAGGCTCTGTTGTATCCATTCCTATATCTCTCTCTATTCCTATGATTCCACTCAACACACTCACACCACCCCACACTTACTTAGAACTCACTCACAGTCAGCTTGCGTCTCACTTAACCACACTTCCAGCACTCACAACTTCACACCCACTCACTTTACTTCCACAATTCTCTCACCCACACACATAACCACACACACTTCCACACCGCATCCACTCACATATATCAAATACAACCTTCCTATGCAATCACATTTCTATCTCAACAGTCAGTCTCATGGACTCTCTTGGGCATTTCATACAGATCACCTATCTAACCCTGTCCTATGCAATTTAACTCCTATGTATATTCTCCTATATAATCTTTATATCACACAACCAGCACGACACAACATACAACATACAGCTAACTATCTACTACACTAGCTAATCGAAAGAGGGAAAGAAAAAAAAGAGATAGAACAAGATGACGCTTTGCGAGAGGAGATTGTTGACTCCACACTGCGGCAGGTCTTCACTCTCCTTCCTCGGAGCCGCCCGAGAATGCAGGCCGGATGATAGGCCGCAAGCAGATGGAATAGGGCCTTCTCCTTCCTCTTCCTCCCTCCTCCCGAGTGATGGGAGGGGAGCACACCAGATGGTAGTCCCGTCGCAGCAGGCTTGGAGGCTTCTCTCCACAGCAGTGGGCCTGATGGAATTCCGAGGGGAGCCCTCCCCTTCTCCCCCACCACTCAAGAGGCGGGAGGGGGGCACACAGCGGTGGGGCCTAGCAGCCCGGTGGAAGCCACGCCGGAGATCTTCTCCCCCCTCCCCCAAAATGGTGGGAGGGGGTGCCCAGCGGGAGGGGGTCCTCGCCTCCTCTCCTCTCCCAGAAGCAGGAGGGAGGCGCCCAGCGGGGGGCCTAACGGCCCAATGGAGAACTTCTCTATCCTCCCCCCAAGTGGCGGGGGGGTGCACAGCGGCGGGTGGCAGTGGAGGGGGTCCTCACCTCCTCTCCTCTCCCTGCGGCGGGAGGAAGGCGCACCGCGGCGGGGCCTGGCGGCTCGATGGAATCCGCGCCGGGAAAGTTCTCTTCCTGCCTCCCCGATGGTAGGAGGGGACGCCCAGGGAAGGGCCTGAGGCCGAAAGAAGGCCTTCACTTCTTCCCCTCAGATGGCAAGAGGGGAGCACACAGCGGCAGGCCTGGTCTTCTCTTCCCTCCCTGCGGCGGGGCCTAACAGGCCGCGGTAGCGGAGCCGCTGGGATTGCCGCGATGTAATGGCGGCTCCCAGAAGCCGCGATGGAGTGGCGGCGCTGAAAGCGGCTCCTTTTGGGCCCTTGCTTCACCAGCCTCTTCACCAACCCCGGTAAGACCCGGGGAGGGGGGGGATTTCGGCGGTCTTGATAGGAAGGGGCTCTATAGGGGGAAAACAGTCTCACCCCTGGAGCTGCGCCGTAGGGGATCTCGTCACGGCGCCATCTTGGGGGAAAAAATTTTCCATCATCTATGGTCCATCCTCTGCCAAAGTGCACCATGGGGGGTCTGTGTGCCAAATTTGGTCCAGGTCCATCGTGCATGTGGGTCGCAGTGGTCTCTGGAAGTGAGTGAAGGTACTGAAATCCCATCATTCATGGTCTGTCCTTCTGCAAACTGCACCAGGATGTAAAGTGAGTCATGGGGGCTCTGCCATTGGTCTTGATGTGCCATTTGTATGGTTTGCAGTGGTCTCAGGAATTGAGTGAAGGTTCTGCAAGTCCCATCATCCATTGAAACAAATTAAAATCTGTGCATATTGGAATGCAAGGTTGTTTCAAAATGTCATGTCAATCAACCAACTACTTTTCGAGTTTTGTGAGCGCAAACATGTTTTTACATAAAAAGTTTGGCTTAAACTGGGTGAGATTAGATTAGTTTACCCACTTAGTATTACTACCCGTGGCTTGCCAGTACAGAAAGAGCACATCCTGCTGCCCCACTCCACCGCTGTCATGAATACTTTTTAAACAAAGGTTATTTTTATTGCAATTTTCAGTGTGAGAGGGTATATCAAATTACAGAACATTTTTACTCAGTGATGACTTTAGAGAGGCAGACATACAGATGGCCTCCATAACAACCATGGGGGTTGACCCTAATGATATCTGGACCCACTCATGCAAATGGACACACTCCTGATCTGGTCTTTATTGTGGATGGTGATGGATCTGTTGGGTTGGAGGAACTATCAAGTGTTTCGTTGTCATGAACTGACAATCACCTGATTAACTTTAGGCTATCCACAGCCTCAAACTTGTGCAAGGGTAGTGGACCCACTAATATGGTTCGTCCCAGAAGACTTATGGATCCAGTTGGCTTCCTGACATCTTTCGAGAAGTTTCTTGTCATGGGGGCAGATGATCCTGTTGAAGCTCTGGTTAACCTCTGGACCACAGAGGTGGCTAGGGCAGTGGACACTATCACCCCGAACATCTTCTCTCGCTTAGTAGAGTCAATTCTGCTCCTTGGTTCACTGGGGAGTTGAAAGTGATGAAGTGGGCGAGGCAGAGACTATTTTATTTTATTTCTTTGTTTATTTATTTTATTTTATTTATTGAGTGCCTCTGGCAGAAGTCTCAGAGCGAATCCAACCAAACACGAGCTAGAGCCTCACTTAAGGCCTATACAGCAATAAGGGCAGCCAGGAAGGCTTTCTTGTCTACCTGTATTGTGTCTGCAATTAATAGACCAGCTGAGTTGTTCCGAATAGTCAGGGAACTCCTTCACCCTGGTTCTCAGGTGGAGGCTCTTGATCACTCGGCAACTCGATGTGATAATTTTGCACATCATTTTGCAGACAAAGTCGCTCAGACATGTTCTGAACTTGACACCTGCTTTAGGGTATTCCAATAGATAAGTGTTTTTCAATCTGGGAGTCGGGATATCTGGGGGGGGGGTCATGAAGGGGGTTGCAGAAGGGTTGCCAAATACCATCAGAAAGGGGCTCTTTGATTGTAGGTGAACTATAAATCCCAGCAACTACAACTCCCAAATGTCAAGGTTTATTTTCCCCAAACTCCACCAATGTTCACATTTGGTCATTTTGATTATCCATGCCAAGTTTGGTCCAGATCATTCATTGTTTGAATCCACAGTGTTCTCTGGATGTAGATGAACTACAACTCCAAAGCTCAAGGTCAATGCCCACCAAACCCTTTCAGTATTTTCTGAAAGGGTGAACTATCAATCCCAGCAACTACAACTCCCAAATGACAAAATCAACACACACACACACCCCACCTTACCAGTATTCAAATTAGGGCATATTGGGTATTTGTGCCAAATCTYGTCCAGTGAATGATAATATGTCCTGCATATCAGATATTTATATTACAATGCATAACAGTAGCAAAATTACAGTTATGAAGCAGCAACAAAAATAATTTTATGATTGGGGGTCACCACAAGATGAGAAATTGTATTAAGGGGTTGCGGCATTAGGAAATTTGAGAACCACAGCAGTAGATGTACCTGAGACATCTGCCTGTCCTATTGTGTGGGATTCGTTTCAATAAGTTCAACCTGATGACATGAACAAGATTCTTGGATCTGTGAGAGTGACCATATGTCCTCTACACCCTTGCCCCTCCTAGCTTATGAAACTTGCCAGCGGGGATTGGCCAAGTGATTTATGGGAATTATTAATGCCTCGTTGGAACAGGCATTAACAATACAATTGCTGGGCATGTTTAGCCTGGAGAAGAGAAGACTGAAAGGAGACTTAATGGCCATATATAAATATGCGAGGGGATAGTCATATGGAGAAAACTTGTTTTCTGCTGCCCTGGAAACTAGGATGTGGAACAATGGCTTCAAACTACAGAAAAGGAGATTCTACCTGAACATTGGGAAGGACTTCCTGACTGTGAGAGCTGTTCACCAGTGGAACTCTCTGCCCTGGAGTGTGATGGTGGCTCCTTCTTGGAGGCTTTTAAACAGAGGCTGGATAGCCATCTGTCGGGGGTGCTTTAAATGTGATTTTCCTGCTTCTTGGCAGGGGGTTGGATTGGAAAGGCCCACAAGGTCTCTTCCAACTCTATGATTCTATGACACTCCTTTAGTTGGTTGTTTTCCAGCTAGTCCTGGTGTTCTTTCACTGCTCCTTTGTTGTAGCCTACTGTTCGGGTCCCGTTTACTGAGTGGTTATTTGGATTACAGCAATATACAAAGTTATCCAGGMTTTTTTTCTTTTCCCTTTGCATTCAGGTAAGCCACTAGGACYGGGAACATTTGGCCAAGTTATTGAAGCCAATGCCTTTGGAATTGACAAGGCTTCTGCTTGCCGAACGGTTGCTGTCAAAATGCTTAAAGGTGAGAATCAAGGACTAAGAAACGTCTCAAAAAGAGATGTTATTAACACACACTAATGACTGCAAAAGCTGACTAGGTGGTACAGGTTGAGTATCCCTTATCCGAAGTGCTTGGAATAAGAAATGTTTGGGATTTTGGATCCCCCCCCCCAAGACTTTTGAATATTTGCATATACATAATGAGATATCTTGAAAATGGGATCCAAATCTAAACATGAAATTCAGTTGTGTCTCATATGTTCCTTATACACATAACCTGAAGGTAGCTTTATAAACAATATTTCTAATATTTTTGTGCATGAACCAGTGCAAAGGTGTCACTATCTCAGCCACTCCTGTGAACAATTTTGGAATTTGAAATATTTTGGATTGCAGACTTATGGGAAAAGGGTATACAATTTGTAGTAATAGGATAAGGGAAAGCATGACGGTTACTGCTATCTTGTAATGTCAAATATTGTAGGTGTTCTGCATTCTTCTACATGGGACTGACTATTACCCGCCTTGAAGCTAAAACTGCCAGACATGCACAGATATTAACAACTGTGCACATTTTTTATGAAACCTACTTCATCATCATCATATTTTCCAATCGATATGGATAATTAGTGACATTCTGTTCTTTRTCTTCCTACTTTGATGAAAGGTGSCAGATGAAACTTTATTTCTACTCTCTGTATTTAGCAAAAACAATATACATGTTTATTTTCCTTTAACAGAGGGAGCAACAGACAGTGAACACAGGGCACTGATGTCTGAGCTCAAAATCCTCATTCATATCGGTCATCATCTCAATGTGGTTAATATACTGGGAGCCTGCACAAAACCAGGAGGTATGTGTTGAAAGTCATTGGTATTTTGTAGAGAAACAGCAGCTATATGTTGTCAAAGGCTTTCATGGTCGGAAACAATAGGTTGCTGGGAATTTTCCGGGCTATATGGCCATGCTCCAAAAACATTATCTCCTGAAGTTTGACCCACATCTATGGCAGCCATCCTCAGAGGTTGAGGGGTCTGTTGGAAACTAAGTAAGTGTGATTTATATATCTGTCGAATGTCCAGGGTGGGGGAAAAAACTCTTGTCTGCTTGAGGAACATGTGAATGTTGCAGTTTGCCATCTTGATTAGCATTTAATGGCCATAGCAGAGCACCTGATGAGCCAACCTAAGTACAGCATATTATTTGAGAAATGCTGGACCACTCTAACAACTACCATGTCAGACTACACAGAGAAGCCATTGAAATCCACAAGCATGTGGACAATTTCAACGGAAAGGAGGAAACCATGAAAATGAACAAAATCTGGCTACCAGCTTTTTAAAAAACTAAAATCAGAACAGTAAATAAAGAGCAAGACTCAAAAAGCAGAGGAATTCCAGACAAGAATAAATCAGGGCTAAATACTTCCCAACAAAGGATTCCCCCAGGCAGCAACCAGCCAGGCCCTGAAACTGCAGGCCATTAAATGCGAATAATGGTGGCAAATTGCAACATTCACACATACCTCAAGCAGAGAAGAGTTCTTTCCCCCACCCTGGACATTCCACAGATATATAAACCACATTTCCTTAGTTTCCAACAGACCCCTCAATCTCTGGGGATGCCTGCCAAAGATGTGGGTGAAACGTCAGGAGAGAATGCTTCTGGAACATGGCCATTTAGCCTGGAAAACTCACAGCAACCCCCAAAAAGCAGCTAGCTGGTAGAGAACATACATCATGCTTCGGTTCTGCTGTTAATTGATTGCCAAAGGCTTGGCTTGTAGATATTTGCGTCTACAGTCTGGATGTTAGCAATAAAGATAGTAAAAACCGCAAAAACACCATTTCAAACATCAGAAACTGGACATTTCCCAGCATGGATAGAGCATCTAAGTAACTCCAAAATTTAGAGAAGGACTGTTTTTTTTTCCAGACTATTGTTTCAAATACCTTCAGCCAAGATGATGATCCTACATAGGAAATGTTGACAGTTATAGTTCAAAAACAATTTTTCCATGCTCTGTCAACATGGTTTGACAAAATGTTTTGTTCAACAAAATGGCTTCAAAATATCACCACATATCTTACCAAAATTGGCTGTCGAAATTGTCTGGTCATTGAAAAATTAATGATAATCCAATTTCTTTTCCTCCATATATATGTTTACTTTTGAATCTTTACAAAATATTTCAAGAGAAAAGTAAAAGAGAAATGGTAAAATCAAATATTCCTAAGGACTGTGGTGTGATAAAGTCCTATGCAACCTCTGGTTTACAGAACAAAACCAAACCGCATTGAGTCGCCGAATAGGCTGATAAATGCGGTATAAAAATGAAGCAAATAAATAAATAAGTCTGAAAAGGTTACTTGTTTTATCCACTGTTCCTARAATTCCCAAACAACACGACTAGGATTATTGTTCTTGTTGCTATTGACGTCCTTCAAGTCATTTCCAATTTATGGCAACCCTAAGAGGAAGTATCACAAGGATTTGTGGGCTGAAAATGTGTGACTGTCCCAAAGTCACCCAATYGGTTTCCATGACTGAACTGGGAATTAAACTCTGTTCTCCAGAGCTGTTCAAACCACTATACCACACTGGCTCTTARTTATGACTATGGTTTCTGGGAATTCTGAGAACTGTAACTTTTTTTGGACTACRATGTGTGCAGGTGTGGTAGACTTTTGTTCCCAATATTTTTAAAAGCYTTTTAAAAGCCCATTTTGTTCATATGTTGTCTTTTCAGGTCCACTTATGGTGATTGTGGAACATTGCAAATTTGGAAATTTGTCAGTGTATTTACGAAGCAAACGAAGTGATTTTATTTCATACAAGGTGAGATCTCTGGAAAGAGATTTTTCTTAGTTTAAGATATTTGCTGCTATGCCAACTGTTGGATGTCACTGGAGATTGTTGCACTGGAGTTACTACAATGGTACATTTTTCTTTGACTTTATCGACATTGTGGAATGAATGCAGTTTGAGCTCACAGGCATTGCTAAATGTGGTAGATTCCTGGGAATTGTAGTTTGGTGAGGCATTAGAAAGGGACCCCTCCAAAGCATTACAAATCAAAACACAAGCCTCCAAAACTTTCGGAGAGATTCATAAAGATTTTTTGTTTTGGAGCTTTTTTTTTTCAATGTAACATACTCCGTCATCTGTAATTGTCTAGGGTGGGAAGGAGCAGGGGCTGATGTGATTGACAAGGGCAAATGCATGCTATTTTTCCTCTTGGCAGCCAATCAGAAGAAGAAAGGCAATCACATGGCTTTCTGCAAAGCTGATCTCTCCTTCCTTCCCTTCCCTCAGCATCTCTCTGTCTTTGTGGTGTTTGAAGGAGAGAGATAAAGACATGTGCTGGAGGACCATTTTGTTTCTGTGTGTTTCTTAAAACTTAAACTTATAATAGATTTTTGATAATTCTGTTTCTTTTTATACCATCATATGCCGTCTATAATCTTCCTCTGTTGAAATTATCCAACTTATTTATTATTTTTCAAATTCCCATAGCGACCTAGGTGTACTCCCTCCCCAAGCAGCCCTCTGCCCCCACACCCAGCAAGTCAGACCTGCAAGATCCTACTTACATGCCTGCTTCCTCTGACAGGACCAGTGCAACGAAGAATTAAGGACACACAGTTGGTTTTTACAGGTGACAGGGGAGATCCTTATCTATCCCACCGCTGCCAATACTGTAAAAGATAATGGGTGGTTTTACTGGCAGGGGAGACAAAAACACCTTCTCTACGCCCTCCTGTCAGACCCAAAGCGATTCAACCCGTGTGTTGTCGTTGTAACGTGCAGGTGTAATGTTTGGTAAGCTGCCACCACCTCATTGTTAAATTGTGAGGAATTGTTTGACTGGAGTTCCTGAGGTGAATTCTCCCAATACACTGCTTCTTCCTACTGGCTCCCTATGAAACATGACTGGACTGTAAAAGTGTATAGAATTGTCAGACCTGAGGCTATATAAGGAACCAAGGCTGAGGCTAGTTAACGATGAAAATATAGATTGAGTTTATTGAATAACAATAAACTCAACAGGTAAACAACAGACTACTACGAGGCACATACTCTTAATTGGTTTCTCAAGCACAATCTTCTTCTTAATCAAAACAGTTTCTTCAGGATGGGTTACTTTCCTATAACCAGAGCTAAATTTCTCTTCACTCTACCCTTAATACTATGTAGCAGTGAATTTCATCAGCCAATTTCCCCTGGCTGTCACACAGAGTCTCTACTCTGACACCTGAGAGATAATTCCCACTTGTACTATGCCTTAGCACAAGTAACAGGCTCCCACTCTGACTTTCCTAGCCAGATTCCTGTGAAGACCCCTGTTCTAAACTAATCTCTTTCAGGCTAGCTCCTTAGAAAACGTACCACTATTCCCTGACTGAAATCCTAACCTCTCTTCTCTCTGATCTAATCTTGTTTCGTTCAAGATTACATTCCTTCTCCCCCCCCCCCTGTCAGAGCTGGCAAGCTACTTGTCACTCCTACAACTCCTCCCCCTTGAGTCAGACCCAATCAGAAGAGAGTTGACTCCACCCCTTGCCTCTCTGCCTGTCCTAACATGGATGCCAGCCTACTGTCTGCCAGGCTGTGGCCTACAAAGAAAAGGTATGAGTTCATGACAACCAGCATTTCACTTTACAATTATGCTTATTAAAAACCCCTTATCACACTAGGGCTTTAATGTGGGAAGCCCCATTCTCCTGATGTGAGCAGATTTCTAAAAAATGTTGTTTGGGAAGGCAAGGACCTCTGTAACAGAGTATTCAAAAAGCCCCACCCTAATCAACTTTTCCCAGAATTCTGCTCACACCAGAAGAACGGTGATTTTAAGTCTCATTGAAAATTATTTAGGTTAGCCACATATACTTAAATTGATAACAAAAATCTTTAAAATCAGTGAATAAATTGGTTGTTCTGAAACTTGGCAGGCTTGCTTCCCTGCTCATGTTGCCTCACTGTGCCACAATCTGAGGGAATACCTCTTGTAGTTTTTTTAAAATACTTTTTTAATTTTAGAATTTTTTAAAAAAATTCTAAAAGTCAGTAGATAAATTATCTTGCTGAACCTTTGCAGGATTGGTACCTTGCTTATGTTGCCTCATTGTGGAGAAATTCAAGGGGCTATCACCTGTAGTTTATATATATATAAAAGCAAAGAGGAGCTGAGGAGCCTTCTAATCAAGCTGAAAGAAGAAAACGCAAAGGTTGGGTTGCAGCTAAACATTAAAAAAAACAAGATTATGGCAACAAGAATGATTGACAACTGGGAAATAGAGGGAGAAAACGTGGAGGCAGTGACAGACTTTGTATTTCTAGGTGCAAAGATTACTGCAGACAGGAAATCAGACAAGAAATCAGAAGACACTGACTTCTTGGGAGGAGAGCAATGTCCAATCTTGATAAAATAGTGAAGAGTAGAGACATCACACTGGCAACAAAAATTTGCATAGTTAAAGCAATGGTATTCCCCATAGTCACCCACGGATGTGAGAGCTGGACCTTAGGGAAGGCTGAGCGAAGGAAGATAGATGCTTTTGAACTGTGGTTGTTGGAGGAAAGTTCTGGACTGCGAGAAGATCCAACCAGTCCATACTTCAGGAAATAAAGCCCGACTGCTCATTGGAGGGAAGGATAGTAGAGGCAAAGATGAAGTACTTTGGCCACATCATGAGGAGAAAGGAAAGCTTAGAGAAGACAATTATGCTGGGGAAAATGGAAGGAAAAGAGAGAGGCCAACCAAGGGCAAGATGGATGGATGGCATTCTTGAAGTGACTGGCTTGACCTTGAAGGAGCTTGGGTGATGACACCCGACAGGGAGCTCTGGTGTGGGCTGGTCCATGAGATCACAAAGAGTCAGAAATGATTGAACGAATGAACAACAACAAATATATGGAAAGACTTAAAATTTTCTTAAAATCTGTGAATGACCAAAACATTCTGAAACTTGACAAATAACATAACATAATAATAATTATTTATTTATTTGACTAGTCATATGACCATTTCAAAATACAGCACAAATAAAAGACAAGGCAAAAAGGAGAGAACAGCAGCTGACCTTCTATTTATAGTCAGAATCTTATTTTCCTGATTCTTCTTTTAGGAAATGTGCTTTTGTCTTGATAGCTTTCAGAATTAAAAGGCTTACTCTGATTATGGTGGATCTTTCCTGTCCTTGCAAGAAGAATGTCAGAAGATCCTTTCTGTTGGGGGACCWGCACTTGGATAATATTGGARGTAAATATCTATATCGCAGTTCAGTATATGCTGGACAGTCAATCACGAAATGTTCYATATCTTCCACAGTTTGATCTCCCCGTACGCAGAATCTCTCACTTCTTGGGATGTTACAGTAACATCCGGTTTGCATCATAATACCAAGTTGGTCAAACCTAGCCCTATTATATATTCTTCTTAAGAGTAGCAGAATTGGAATAGACAGATAGTGTTCAAAATGACTATTCCTTTTGTGGGAAGCTAAAAATGTTGTGGCAGAAGACCCACCTATGCTTGCTAGGTCCAATTCAGCATAGATATCTCGAGTGCATTGCATGAGCACTTGTTTTGCCTTAGGTCCTAGAATGTTCAGAAATTGTAAAGGTAAAGTCATAACAGTTGCCTATAAGTATGCTAGGTTTTGTCCTGATAATCATAAAAATGATGGAGAAATGAGTCTTGAAATTTTCCCCATTTCCGRTAATAGAACAAATCTTAACAAAGCAATTATAAAGCTTTGGAGATTCAGATTACGAATTGGAATGGAATGGAATGGGACTCTCTGAATCTTTATGAAGTGAAGTGGGGGTCATCCAAATCTCCTAAATGAATTACTACTATTCCATTAGTAGGTTAGGCATCAGATAATTTGAGAATTCCTTTTTGGATAATAGGGAGAAAGGGTGGGACCTCATCCTGTATTATAGGACATATATGACTACCATATATTCCGGCATATAAGATGACTGGGCATATAAGACGATCCCCAACTTTTCCAGTTAAAATATACTCGCCGTATATCCAGTTTGGGATATGCTCACCATATAAGACTACCCCTCTTCCAACACACACCAAATAAAAATTTTAAAAGCATCAGATTCGATTTCAATATGGTAATTTTCCTATTACTATACCTCCTTCTCTGCCTCTCAGATCTCGCACATGCGCACCTGCACCGCTTCACTGCAGTCTTCAGGAGCGAGATCTGAGTGGCAGAGGAGACGATACGGTAATAGGATACAAGGGCAGGCCAGAGGTGTGTTTGTCTGGGCCCAGAGCCACTCTATCTCTCTTTTCCATACCCCGGGCGCCTCAGACGCCTGCAGCTTGCTCCGCCCTTCACTAACACCTTCCCGTTGAGGCACCTCACCATCGGGACCGCATTAAGTCCACGAAACCTGATGAATGGATTTTCTTCTACCATACTTGTACAGCGTCGCCCTTAATGCTTTCATACAGTCGCTGCATACAGCAGGGATGCAACCATTGCCATTTTTTAGCTCCCTGAACTATATGCGGCAACCATAGATTCTCCAATCCGGATTGGAAGTTTCAGCACCCTCTCTATAAGATGACTCCTGGCATATAAGACTCCTCCCGTGTATAAGATGACTCCTGTGTATAAGACTACTCCTGTGTATAAGACTACTCCCGTGCATAAGACAACCCCTGACTTTTGAGAATATTTTCTTGGGTTAAAAAGTAGTCTTATACGCCAGGATATACGGTATTCTTTTAGCATAGATTCTTCCATACTACTCCAGAAATGTGTATGCAAGTTGGAGCAGTTGTCACAGGTATTAGAAGCTGAGAAGCAATGGTTAAAGTCTCTAGAGCATTTCTCTCTGTTGGAGAAAAGAGCTATGAGTATCATACAGCATGTCCTGGCCACCTAACCTAGTCTTCTGCCTCAGGGGTAATGGAGGACCCCATCCTTTTGCCAGACATGAAATGTGATTCAACAATCAGCCTATCCAGCTTCTTATTGGTGGAAAAAAATGTGCCACCTTGCCCTCCATTGTTTTCAAATTCCAGCTGAGATCTTTTGGCACAGCACCTAGTATGTCAATGACCACTGAGACCACCTGTATTGCTTTATGCCAGAGCCTTTGCAGTTCAATTTTGAGGTCCTGATAACAACTGAGATTTTCTCTGTTGTTTTTCATCAATTCCGCTGTCACCTAGTATGGCGACATCAATAATCCAAAATTCTTTCTTTTCCACAATCATTATGTCTAGTGTATTGTGTTCCAAAACATTGTCAGTCTGGATTCAAAAGTCCCACAGTATGTTTGTCTGCTCATTTTTCACTACATTTGCAGGTTTTGATCCCACCAGTTCTTTACTGCTGTCAGGTGGTACTTATGACATAATTCCAATGAATCATTTTGGTCACATTGTTGTGCATTTTTTTGTAGTTTGTCTGTGTGATTTTCTTGCAGCAGCTGAGGATATGATCAACGGTTTCATCAGCTTTCTTGCACAGTCTGCATTTTGGGTCATCAGCTGATTTTTTGATCCTGGCTTTAATTGCATTTGTTCTGATTGCTTGTTCCTGGGCTGCAAGAATCAGGCCTTCTGTCTCCTTCAATGTTCCATTAGTGAGCCATAACCAGGTCTTCTCTTGTCAATTTTTCCTTCAATTTCGTCAAGGAACTGCCCACACAATGGTTTGTTGTGCCAGCTGTCAGCACTGGTTTGGAGTGCAGTTTTCTTGTACTGATTTTTTTGTCTGCTGTGCTTTGAGAAGTTTCCAATTGTTGACTTCAATCAAAGCAGGTTCTTCACTTTCCTTTACATATTCTGCCAGGAAAAAATAATATTAAAAAATAATATTAAAAAATAATATTAAAATAATATTAAAAAATAATATTAAAATAATATTAAAAAATATTTTTGTTGACTTCAATCAAAGCAGGTTCTTCACTTTCCTTTACATATTCTGCCAGGGCATGATTTTCTTCTTTGACTGCTTGTTTAACTTGTAAAAGCCCTCTACCACCAGACCTTCCAGGCAGATATAGCCGGTCATCATCACTGCAAGAATGCAGTGAATAATGAATGGTCATGAGTTTTCTTGTTTTTCTGTCCAAATTGTCCAGTACGCCTGCGTCCAGTTTATGATGCCAGCAGTATATCTTATGATAGGTATGGCTTTGATGATATTGCCTCCATTGAGTTTGCTTTTGAGAATTTTTCTGGCCCTTTGAGTGTATTCTTTGCTGACCACAGTTTTCACATACTATTTTTGCTGTTGTTGTTGTTTAGATGCCACTAAGGATGATCATAATGTTTGCGAATAGCTTCAATACAGATATTGTCAAAGTTTAAATTTTTTGTAATTATTTCCATTTTGTACTACTTTGCCTGTTGCTAATTGAAATTCTGATTATCTTCACAGACTAAAAAAGAGAGGTTTGGACATAAAAATGGAGAGGAATTGAAGAAACGCTTGGACAGTATCACGAGTAGCCAAAGTTCAGCAAGTTCTGAGTTTGGAGTAGAGAGATCCCTTACTGATGTGGAAGAAGGAGAAGGTAGGGTTTCTCTTGATCTATTAGTTATAAGTGTACCACACCCTCCCTTCTATGACCCGAAGGCAGTAAAATAGCTTTGTTTTATACTAATATTAATGAGATTTGTATTTAGATTTGTATTGGCTTTTTAATATTTGTTGGGGTAAATCCCAAACAACCTCAATTATACACAATGAGTAAATATCTGGTAAGAGACCAGATTAGGCATGGTTAGGTTCGGTCAGAATCGTCATAATTCAGAATAAATTCGGAAAGATTTGCTTTTTGAAGTGATTTTGAAGTTTTTAAGGAAATCAGAAGTCCCTTTACCCTTCCGAAGTTTTTTCCACCATTTCTGTTACGAAGCAGTAAGTGAGTCAGAAATGACTCAGCGTTTCCCCACTTCTGGTTCCTGGCCTCGGTTCAAGCCCAGGAAGTGTTTTAAAACCCAGTGGATGACTCTCTCCTCTCCCCTCGTGAGCCTGGGAAGCGTTTTAAAACCCAGTGGATGACTTTCCTCCCTCTCCTCTCCCCTCATGAGCCTGGGAAGCGTTTTAAAACTGAGTGGATGAATTCCTCCTTTTGCTTCCCCCCCCCCTTTTCTGGAGTAAAACAACTACTTTCAAAGTAAAGACCACCCGATGAAACAGGAAATAACACTTTCAAACCATTAAGGAAGGATTCAGAAGTCTCTGAAGTTTTGAAAAGTTTTGAACATTTTTTTATGTGAAAATGGGAATTAACTTTAGAATCGAACCACCAGCACCCCCTACATCCAAAACGAGTTTTGAACTTTTTTTTTATCAAACAAGCCTACTCCAGATATCTTCCCTGGTTGTCTTTTTTGAACATCTTTTGAACACCGTAAGTCAAAACTGACTGACTTATGGTGGCCTTATGATGGGTTTTTCTTGGTAAGATTTATTAGAAGAGGTTTGCTGTTGGTTTCCTCTGAATATATCCTATAGTACCTGGTATTCCCATACAATCTCACTTCCCAGTACTAACAATATCTACTCAGATAAAATGCATTGCATTTAGTAAAGCTTACTCATAGATAGGAGCCCCCGGTGGTGCAGTGGGTTAAAGTGCTGAGCTGCTGAGCTTGTTGACTGAAAGGTCACAGGTTCGATTCTGGGGAGTGGCATGAGCTTCCGCTGTCAGCCCCACCTTCTGCCAACCTAGCAGTTCAAAAACATGTAAATGTAAGTAGATCAGTAAGTACTGCTCCAGCAGGAAGGTAACAGCATTCCATGCAGTGATGTCGGCCACATGATCTTGGAGGTGTCTATGGACAAAGCTGGCTCTTCAGCTTAGAAATGGAGATGAGCACCACATCCCAGAGTTGGACACAACTGTACTTAATGTCAGGGGAAAACCTTTACCTTACTCATAGCTAAGCAGATTCAGAGCTGATGTCTAAATCCCTGATGCCCCATAAAATCCTAGGAGCAAAATCTCAAGAAAATGAAGATGGGGTTTTCTGGTACTACAGAATGAACTGTGTTAACCAGGACATGTATTGTCATGAGGAATTGTTTATGAATTAATATTTCCCTTTACAGCAACATCAGAAGATCCTTATAAAAATGCTCTAACCTTGGAGGACCTTATCTGCTACAGCTTCCAGGTGGCCCGGGGGATGGAATTCCTGGCCTCACGGAAAGTAAGGCATTGCTCTCAAGGGAAATTACATTTATCAAATGACTCCATGCTTCAGGAAACGATAGTGATAAGGATGGTGCTKAATAGCAGGAAACTGTAATGCTCATGTCTGCATCTCACTCAATGTTTCTGAACAYGCTGAGTCTAAGCGGTCAGTATTACCCAGGGYTTTGATAARAATGTCAGCACTTGCAAATTCACCTCCAAGCATGTGGGGAGCTGGCTGCTCATTTAATATAGAGTTTACAGAAGTAAATTTTGGGGAGTACATATTCTAGCAATCTCCCAGTAGTATGTTGAGGAACTTTCCAAGATCTCGCCATTTAGGGGTGGAGGGGACATGAAAGGCCATTTAACCCATTTCCTTACTATGCAGATCTGCACAATTAAAACATTCTCAAAAGATTCTGTTTTAAGACTTCTAAAGAAGGAGAATCCAGTGCTTTCTGAGGTTGTCTAGGTTACAATCTTGTGTATGCTTAGCAGGGTATAAGCTCTGATGAACTATAATAGCTCTTTCTTTTGAGAAACTTAGAATATGCTTTTGCTGTTAGTAGGTTTACATCCATTATTTGAAGAGAACATTCATGAAATGCATTGGATACCTCAGGAAAAAATGGCCTTGCAACAAAATACAACAAAATCCACAAGTAGTCTTTCCTTTATTGGGCCAACACCAAAGGACAAAATGCATTTTACAAGTTTTTGAAGCTTCATTGGCTTCTTCTTCAGGCAATGGTGTTTAAAAATCATACAAGAAAAGATGTCATTTATGTTAGAAGTCACAGGCCTACATGTGACTCCAAACATAACATTAGTCCCATGAGGGGGAAAAGTGGGATATAAATAAATTATTATTATTATTATTATTATTATTATTATTATTATTATTATTATTGATTACATTGTGCCTGAGGTGCTATCAGTTAAGATACGTATTGAAGGTTTTCAGTTTAGGCAGGGGTCATTTCTCTTATTGGCCATGTGAAGTCTAGAAACAAAGAGCAATTAAAGATAGGAAATAAGTTTTCAACTCCTTTAACAATAACAAAATATTCCTAATGAAATCCAAATGTCCCTGTCCTGTCTGAAGCTAATTGTTACTTCTTTTTCGTGGTCTCTGTGAAATCATACATATAGATCTTGTATGCAGGTGCAAGGTAGGTCAGAATTCCCAAGAACACAAGTCCTGGGAGGTGCGCCTAAAAACTTTTCTTTACAAACATGCCTTGCAACCCTCTCCTAACCAGCTGAGGAAATGTTCAACATCAGAACAGCCTRCTACCCCTCCTCCCCAGYCTTTGCTAACTGATATGGYTTCATCGATGGCATCTCTGTTGACAATTCAGGCAGAGGCCTCTAAAACAAAGAGAACAAGGACTGCCCATTCTGCTCCCTCTGTGYCCATAGCCRTTCTACCCAGGCAAAAAAATTAAGGGGGGGGGGACAAGCAAAACTTCTCAGYAGGGCAGTCTGCYCCAGCTGCTGTCACCCCACCTCTTTCCCAAGTGCTGCCTGACTCGAGCTGTGCACTGGATGATGTCAACATACAAATACCACTTCCCTCTGTATCAAAAGTAAGGGTGCACAACAACACACACACTCAGTCAGCTAACGGGCACTATGCGGGAAGGAGGGCTGCATCATCCCAAGTCATGCTTCAGAGGCTCAACTCAACAGGCTTCTCCCTTAGAGGTGGCACCACACACTTCCAGGAGTACTCTCTCAGCCCAACAGAYCTTTTCCCCTAGGCATAATTCTCCCTATACTTATGGCSTCAGCCTATACCACAGTTCCTAGAGAACCTGCTGACCATCTGCCACTTGAGGTTACCTTATCAGGGCCTTACCACCCTTACTATGAAAGGCAGAAGTGCAACTCTCCCTATTTGGAGCTTCCTAGCCCTGCTCATTCTAATGAGCATTACAATTCTTCTGCCTCCAGACTCATGTCAACAGTATCCATGGATGTCCTTCCACAAGCTGAGCTAATGACATCACTTGCTGYATGGTCCACCCATTCATTGRTGGGTTTGGAGCCATTGGCTGCACAACATTCCAGTCATGAAACAGCAAGAGACATTAATGTTTCCTCTCCGGAAGAGATGCAGAACTTTTCAGGCCTAATGGTCTGGTTGGCCCGTGCACTTCATTTACCAGCTTCTCAACCAGCTCCCCCTGTGAAGGACCCTATACTTTCTTCAAGTCAGTAACAGTTGCCAGCATCAACAGTGCTCCCATTACAGCCCTTCTTGTTACAGCTTATTAAGAGTTCAGAGGTACCTCCCTCATCAGTGTCACCCACCTCAAGACAATTGATCAACCATTTTTTTCAGCAGAATGGTTGATGAAGCTTCTAAAGCCCAATTCAATTGTGATTGATGTTTTGCAGGCCTGCCCCACTCCACCCCTTCTGACAAAGAACAGAAGCTTGATGCTATAGGTTGCAAAGTCTACTTCTCTGTGGGGCTTTTTGCCCGATTAGCCCACTATGGGACATAAATGGAACATACTAGGATTTTCTTTGGAACAGGATCACCTCCTAACTTGACTATTTGCCAGCAGAGGGCCAGCAGATAGCCCAGACTCTTGTAGGACTCTCCACTATGGCAAGGTGGAGATGCATGGGTCTGACCTCTTCCATCCTGACATAATGGTTTTTCCATACATTGACAACTGGTCCTGGTCGCAGAGTTGCAGCTGAGTCTGCAATAACTTTATATCTCCTGCAGAGTCTGAGTTTGGTCAGTAAACACAAGAAGTCCTCCCTCATATCAGTGCAATGCATTAGGTTTATAGGGGCCATTATCAAGAAAGGGCCTATCTGCCAGATAATCACTTCAGAACCCTCCTCTCGGCAATAATGATTTATTTATTTATTTATTTATTTATTTACTATATTTATATACCGTCCCTCTCAGCCCGTAGGTGGTTCAGGGCAGCTCACAATTGGTGCCAAGACCATAAAATACAATTTCACTACAATAAAAACAATCAGATAATAAAACCATAACAAAATAAATAAAAACATGAACATTAGAGTCTCCTATTAAAAAACCATTCCATTTTCCTATGTCTATTACACRGTATTTGGAAATGCCTGCTCAAAGAGCCAAGTCTTGACTCTCTTTCGAAATGTTAAAAGGRAGGGGGCCGATCTGCTATCCTTAGGGAGGGTGTTCCATAGATGAGGGGCCACCACTGAGAATGCCCTGTCTCTCATGCCTGCCAGCTGTACTTGTGCCGAGGGTRGGACCGGGAGCAGGGCCTCCBCAGATGATCTTAAAGTCCTGGAGGGTTCATAAGGGGAGATGCGTTCAGACAGGTAAGTTGGGCCAGAACCRTTTAGGGCTTTATAGGCTAAAGCCAGCACTTTGAGTTGTGCCCRGTAGCAGACAGGCAGCCAGTGGAGCTGATGCAACAGAGGAGTTATGTGCTCCCTGAGCACCACTCCTGTTAGCAATCTGGCTTCTGTCCATTGGAACATTTGAAGCTTCCGGACATTCTTCAAAGGCAACCCCCCGTGGAGAGTGTTGCAGTAGTTTGTACGGGATGTAACCAGAGCGTGGACTACCGTGGCCAAATCAGACTTCCCAAGGTATGGGTGCAGCTGGTGCACAAGCTTTAACTGTGCAAATGCTCTCCTGGTCACTGCCAAAACTTGGGGTTCCAAGCTCAGTGAGGAGTCCAGGATCACACTCAGACTGTGAACCTGAATCTTCAGTGAGAGTGTAACCCCATCCAACACAGGCTGTAACCCTATGCCCTGTTCAACATTGCAACTGACCAGGAGTACCTCTGTCTTGTCTGGATTCAATTTCAATTTGTTAGCTCTCATCCTGATCATCACAGCGGCCAAGCACCGATTCAGGACCTGAACAGCCTCCTTAGTAGCAGGTGTGAAGGAGTGACAGAGTTGGACATCATCTGCGTATAGATGACACCRCACTCCGAAATTCTGGATGATCTCCCCCAGTGGCTTCATGTAAATCTTAAACAACATGAGGGACAGTATGGAACCCTGAGAAACCCTTCACATTAATTATATGGCAAAGTTAGTAAAGATGCYGATGATCAGGCRTTGGCAGTCACCATCCGGCACATCTCCTACGAAGAGGGATCTATTAGCCACAATCTGCAGTGGTAGTCTTTGGTCCACGGCCGTACAGAGAAAGAAAAGAAAAACGTAACAGCATCCATGGTGATAATGTGGCGGCAACCAGGAGACRACAGTGCTAGCACTGGAGAATGGCAGCACTGATGGTGAATGGCAGCGCTGATGGTAGGGCGCACGATGGAATACGCAGCAGCGGAAGCCCAGACTAACAGCGTTGATTGTAGAGCACATCAGCAAGGCATGCAGCAGCGTAGCAACAAGGACAGCTAACACATTGCGATGGAGAAAGTGGTGGCTGCCCGATGATCAACGGTGACCACCCGATGATAGCCGCACAGCTCCCAATGCTCAGCACAACTCCAACGCTTGGCAGTGCATTATGATCGGGCACAATAACTGCAGTTCGGTCATCCTGGACCATACGGCCTCCACTACTGTAGCCACCCCCTTTGCAAAGCTCAGGATGTGGCCACTTCAGATGTGATTCTTGGGAACATTCAATGCCTTTCACAATGACCTGCCAACCATGTTGACTCTTCACCATGTGCTCTTTCTATCTCTCGCCTGGTGGACCCATTGCTCCAATGTCTGCAAGGGCATGCCATTTCATCAGTGGCCATCCTTTCACATGGTAATCACCGATGCCTCCCAGTTGGAGTGGGGAGTGCATACACGCGACCTATCAATCCAGGGACACTGGTCACTCAGAGAGAGTCAATGCAACATCAACTACCTGGAATCCTTGCAATCCAGAAGGCACTCTGAGCATTTAAGGACTCTCTAATGGGTCACATCATCCAGCTGTTGACAGACCACACAATGGCCATTTTTATATCAACAATCTGAGGCACTCACTCCCTCAGTTTGCTGAGCCTCATGTTCCAGATTTGGTCATGCTGAATTTCATGAGGAATATACCTTGTGGCACTTCACCTTCCAACACTCTCACAGCAGGGCTACCTCTCCATTCACGAGTAGCAGTTACTTCCACAGGAGGCTCTCACTATCTTCCGCTGATGGGGGATGCCATCTCTTCACTTCCTCTTTCAATGCATAATGCCCTTTTTGTGTATATTGCCAATAAAGACATGATCAGGGCTGTCTCAGCAATGTCTTCCTGTTCACATGGCATCAGGGACTCGTCTATGCTTCCTTTCCCCCATGGCATTGATTCCAAGGGTGGTGGTAAAGATCCTGGTGGACAGAGCAGATTGCATTCTCATTGCACCCTGGTGACCCCAACAACCATGGTTCACCCCATTGATAAGAACCTACAGGAGTGGCTTTCACCATTTCCACTGCAGGTGGGATCTACTAACATGCCAGACCAGGCAGGTGGCTCACCCATACATCTTCATCCTCTGCCTCATAGCGTAGAGGCTATGACCTGAAGTGTTATCTCCCCTTTGGTAGAATGTACCATTGATGCCACCCATAAGCCTTCCACGGAATGGTGATATGCTTATAAGTGGAAATGGTTCTCTTCTTTCTCAGAACAAGCCAACGTGAACCCTCTGGCTGCCCCTAGTCTCCTTATTCTCATAATTCTTAATTTCCTTGGATCAGTTTCTAAGAGGAGTCTTTCCCTGTCTTCCCTGGAGTATTATCTGACCACCATTTCTTGGTACCAACAGAAAGCAGAGCATTCCTCCTGTTTTCAAGCCATCCTCATTAAACTCTTTCTAAAAGGTTACAAAAGTATTCATCCACCAGTCCGTCCTCCACCTCCAGGGTGGAGTCTGGAGCTTGGGCTTTCCCAATTGTCAAAGCCCCTGTTTGAACCTTTGGCATCAACGGATCTCTCCTACCTATCATGAAAAACAGTCTTCCTTGTTGCCATTATGTCAACAAAGAGGGCAAGTGAGCTCTGTGCTCTCAGGGTGAATCACCCTTATCTTTTCACAAAGACAAGGTGATCCACCATACTGACTGCATTTTTGCCAAAAGTCATGTCCCAGTTTCATATGTACCAGGACATAGTTTTAGCAGCTTTTTTTCAGAACCCTGTTTTCCCCCGGAACACTCCTTACATATGGTCTGGGTTTTTACATGGACAGTACCCGTCCTCGCAGGAAGTCCCCTTGACTCTTTCTAAAATATTGCTGGGATGCCCTCGGCAGTCCAGTTTCCTCCCAGTGATTTTCTTCATGGATCACATCCACGGTCCAGCTGGCTTATCAGCTTTCTGGCAGACACTCCCCCCCCCCCTCAGCTCAAGGGTCATTCAGCCAGAGCTATCGCTACCTCTCCAACTTTTTAATGAGGAATGCCTCTTGAGGACCTTTACTGGGCAGTGACGTGGTCGACTCCACTCATATTTGTGTCTCACTAAAAGCTGGATTAATTCTCCAGGAAACACACTGCCTTTGGTAGAGCAATGCCCACCCCTGGTGGCATGACCCCTCTCCTCTGAAGGTGGGTAGCTTGCTAGTCACCCATATGTGCAATTTCAGAGAGATCACGAAGAAGAATGGGTTGCTTACCTGTAACCATGTTTGTTTGAGTGGTCATCTGTGAAATCTGCACAATCTCAATCATCCTCCCCTCTGTTCATCACACCTTATTTATTTTTTTCCAGCTGCTTCTAGAGCGGCCAAGGAACAGAGGTGTTAGCCCCTACAGCTGACTATATATGCAAGAGGAATGGGTGGGGCTAACAACAGAAGGTTTTTAAGAGCTCTAGAGAATTCTAATCTGCCTTGCACCTGGGTACAAGCCCCACATGTTCAAATTTCATAGATGACTACTCGAAGAAACATGGTTACAGGTAAGGAACCTATTCTTTCTTAAATGGAGAACACTGAATTTAACAAGGACACTCTGTACTGTTATGTCTGGAAAAACTTTTAGGTGCTGTATAGGTAAAACTTGGAGGCACAGAACAAACAGCAACATGCAAATGACAGCTTGATTTCACTGTAATCAGTTTTTGAAATTTGTATGCTACCTTGAGTCCTGGAAGAGAGAAGTGGGATATAAAGTTATGATGATGGCAGAAATAACAGGAAGAACTGATATACTGCTCATTTCCTTATAGTGTGTCCACCGAGACCTGGCAKCTCRAAATATCCTTTTATCAGAGAACAACATTGTCAAAATTKGTGATTTTGGATTGGCTCGGAATATGTACAAAGATCYTGACTATGTCAGCAAAGGAGATGTAAGTTTCAGTGTCTGAAATCTGGAAACTGAAATCTGGAAACATTGTATGGGAAGTGTTACTAACAGTGGCATCGYAGCATATATTTAATAGTTTATTTTGCTTAATCACCTCTTTGATATTCGGTAATTGCTTCATTTGTGTGCTTTATGGTTTTAATTTTTATTGCAGACACTTCAGATAATGTTTTGTTATTGGATTGTACTGAAATGTTGCAAAAGGCTTGTAAAGAGGAAGGTTTTTAAAATCAATTCAGGGCATGCTATGGTTTTTAACTTTTTATTTGTTTTAATGGTTTTTAACTGGGACTTTTTAAAAATACTGTTTATATTTAAACCTGTTTTAATGTTTGCATATTGGTATATTCTAAATTGGATGCTAATGTTTTTATGTTAAGCCACTTTGAGTCTCCTTTGGGTATAAATAAATATAATAACAATAATAATAACAAATTATTATTAGAACAAATGTCATTAAAGCCAGGACTGAAAAGTCGATGACAGATCCCAAGTGTAGACTCCACAAGGAAGCAGACAAAACGATAGACCACATCCTTAGCTGCTGCAAGAAATTGCACAGACAAGCAGAGGCATAATACCATTGCTCAGATGATCCATTGAATCTGTGGCACAAATACCATCTGCCTGTGACAAAGAAGTGGTGGGATCACARGACTGAAAAAGTTAAAACRAATACATCAAACTACGCTGGGACTTCTGAATTCAGAYTGACAGAGTTTTGGAGCACAATACTCCTGACCTCACAATTGTGTTTAAAAACCAAGTATGGATCATCAGTATTGCAGTCCCAGGCAATAGCAGAATTGAAGAGAAACAACTGGAAAAGCTGACATGATATGAGGATTTAAAGACTGAACTGCAAAAACTCTGGCACAAGCCAGTAAAGGTAGTCCCAATGGCAATCRGCATACTGGGTGCAGTGCCTAAAGACCTYAGCCTGCATTTAAACACAATTGGTGYTGACAATATTACCATCTGTCGGCTGCAAAACGCCACCCTACTCTGATCTGCACACATTATTTGCTGATAGATCACACAGTTCTAGACACTTGTGTGATCAAATAAAAAAGTCAGCGGAGTGATCTTGTTTGCGGTGTACTAATCTTGTTGTGTTTCAAATAATAATAATAATAATATTATAATAATAATAATAATAACAATAATAATAATAATGTGTTATTGTATTTAAAACATTTAGGCTAGGTTACCCCTGAAATGGATGGCACCAGAAACAATTTTTGACAGAGTGTACACAATTCAGAGTGATGTGTGGTCCTTTGGTATATTGCTGTGGGAAATATTTTCCTTAGGTGAGTTATATTCCTTTGCTAACTAAAATATGAATCCTATGCATATGTAAAGTCCTGCTGAATTCCATGCAACTGACTCTCAGTTCCATTGCAGCCTAATCTATACAGCTACTAAAAAGCCATCATATTTAGCTCCTGTTTTCAGAATTAGGATATATAGTAGAATCAAGATATGTAAAGGTGGGTAAAACATTTCTCTGAGGTTATATTGCAAGCCTCAGGGCTGCTTTTCCCTGACCGAAAGGGGTGACTTGTCTCTTCTTTAAACCTCCTTTTGCACTACACTACACAGTTCTAGCACTACATTCCACTTTACCTGTCATGGCTGCCTCCTATGAAATCCTGGGGGATATGTTTTGGAGAGACACTAGAGCTCTCTGGCTGAAATTCTGCCTTTCCCTAAACTCCAGATCTCAAGATATCATGGGATGTAATCCTGACAGCTAAAATGGAATGTAGTGCTACAATTGTAAAGAGTGGAAAGTGGCAATTTATGCTTTATATATATTATGGGGCTTTCTTGTATTTTTAACCTCAAAAATACACATTTTCCACAACCAAAAGTGGATTTCTGGAATAGAGGTTGGCACTGTTTGGTCCCTGGAAAGTTTCAAGGGCAGGAAATTACCTTTTGCATCCACAGCAGTTATTCGCCCCATAGCTACCAATTTCTCCATGAATGCAGAGCCAGTGACTGGACGTTTACAAAATATTGCAATTGAATGTATTTAAAGCCTTCATCTATTGGTCCTCAAGACACAAAACAAAGATATAGTGTGGACTGTAGAATCTGTTCCATGTCATCTTTTGACCTGTGGCAGCCCCATGCCTTTTGTAGGGTTTCCCTGAACACTCAAATGTGGTTTGTCGTTTCCTTTTTCTGAAATATAGTCTATAGTGCCTGGGTTTCCCCATTCAAATACTAACCATTGCTGTCCCTGTTTACTTTCAAAAAGAGATGGAATTTGGTACTTTCTCGGTATTTAATCGGTGGAGAGAAAGATGTATTGATCAGCGGTTTGGCAATTGCATGATTCCACTTGCAAAGGCTCTTCAACCACTGAACCCCAAATACACAGACCAGCATATTGGCCAGAGATTCCCAACTATTGAGAAAACCTCCTTTCTTCTTTGTGGTCTCTGTGAATCACACAATTTGGTATTCTTGCACATGTGCAGAGCACTGTTTGAAACCATGCTCACCTTGCTTTGGCATGGTGAAAGGTTTGCAGTATTGGAGTTGAAGAACATATGTTTCCAAACCAGGATACACCTGGTGTGTTCTTGATTCTCAATGGTTCCTAATAGGGATGGCAGAGGTTATTGTTTACTTCAGAACCAGCAATGTAGAAGTCTACTTATAGCTTAACTTTGCTGAGGAAAGTCTCATTTGGGGCCTACTCACTCTGAGAACGTTTTCCTCCAAGAGGACAGGTTTTCCAACCTCTGACAATCAATCAATGCTTTTCAACTCCTTTGAACAGTTGAAACGAGAGGCATTAACATTGCCCTCAATTGCATGGCTTCTACTATGTCGGACTCACTCTCTCCAGCTGTGGTTCCCCACATCCATCAACCTCTTAGAGCAAATCTCCCTCAAGATCCAATGCATCCTGAACACTCTTTATGGCCAAGGCGACACTAGTTCAGCCACTTGCTGCGATGTCTCAATATAGATATCACTGCCTTAGTCTCCACACCAACTTCCTCACAAGGCCAAATGGTCGGATTCGTCATCCTGACATTGAATCCTATCATCAGGCATGGTGGATCAAGTTCTATGTCTACCATATCCTAGAGTTTTTGCTATAAACCCAACACCAAAATGTTTTATGGGTTGAAATGGGGGTTTTGTATGACCCCAAAACTAATGTTCTTGAATTTCTGAGGACCTTGTCTGATAAGTCACTCTCCTTCCATGCTGCATCCAATCCCAAGTTGGAGCCTCAACCCCTTGAACCTTTGTGGGATCCTTGAAAGATACCTCCCTTGGTCACTCTATACTACTGTCACATTTTTTGTTAATTACCTTGCCTCTTTGGGGTAGTTTTGAGGGTAACTTCTTACGTTTATGTTTATCATGTATAGCTTTCACCATCAAAGGTGTTCTACCTGCTATACCATGTTCACTGGGCAAAAATTCTTTATGTAACAAATTCCTATCCCGAACGTGCAAATTTGTCTTTTGTTCAAAGGTTTGGTCATGTTCTGTTGGGTTCATATAGCACGAATCCGAGTGATGTTATTGGGTGTATGGCATGTATATACACACAGACTTGTTTACTGTTCAAAGGACTTAAAAGACTTGGGTGAAACTTTTCAAAGTCTTATTGTGACAAAGTCTGTTGAAACGTATTCATACAAGCTTTATTGATGGTACACTAAATCCAGGCTTCAAGGATACACTATACATAGTTTCATTGGATTCTTTAGAGAGAGTTTGGTTATTGATGCACCATTTATGGTGAACATATCTCTTTGTGTACCAAAGGTGATGGTCTGCTAAGTGTGTCATGACCCTTGCCTCCAATAACTTATGCTTGCTAGTCACCCAATTGTGTGATTCACAGAGATCATGAAGAAGAAGGGGTAGTTCCATGCCTGTATTTCTTTGGGTGGTCTTTTGTGAATTCACACAAATGTACCCATCCTTCTCACATAGGGGTCATGCCCACCTCAGATCTCAATATGGGCTGCAGCTGCAGCCTACGAACTGAGGGGTTTCAGTGGCAACTGGGCCTTATATAACCCTGGGATGGTGGGCGGGGTTACCGCCAAAGGATTTCTGCCTGGTGATTCCAGAAGTTTCTGAATAGTACTCTGTGCATGCGTGAAAATACCCAATTGTGTGAATTTACAGAGGACAGCTCACAGAAATACAATTACAGGTATGTAAGTAACTACCCTTTCCTCAGGTCCCTTTTGACCAATATGGAGCATGGATACATATCAGTCTAAGCAAGTTATGCCACAATCATGCAAAAATACTCACAAATGATGTAAATAACCTCTTTGTCCCCGAAAAATACATACCCAGCTGATCAAAGTTCAAATGCATACTAATGATTTCTGGGCATCCAAGATGGTACTGAGGTAAGAGAAGCCTTACAAACACTCGGAGAAGGAATTACTAATCGGAGTTAATCTGAGCTGATCCATCGCTCTCTCACCCTCCCTCCAGTGGGACTGCCTTAACCAAGACCCAAGGGTTTGAAGGATTCCTTGGATGTCAGGAAAGTGTGGTCCCAGAGCATGGAAGCAAAGGGAGAGAGAAGAGCAAAAGAGAGAAACAGGTTGAGTGCCATAACCATTGGAGCCTATCACCATCTGAGGCCTTCTTTTTCAGTGCTCTCTTTCCGGCAGCCAAACCCGCCTGAGGCTAACATTGACGCTGTACTGTTCTGACCCACTAAGCCGCATCCGTAGACTGTGGGTCACATGGTAGTGCATCCAATGAGATGCTGTCTGTGTGTGCTGCTCTGTGCTGCCCTGTGCTGCTGCCTTTGTACTGCCATGTTGCTGCTCGCTTGACTGGGCCTGGTGCGGCCTGCACAGCTTTTGCCATCTTGCGCCACTGGCTGTGCCATCGAGCTGTTTGGCTCCGGTCGACTTCCATGGGGTCAGCTCTCACAGCTGCAAGAGGGCGACTGTCCTGCTGGCTGCCTCTGCCATGGAACCCAAGTCTCGGGGGACTGCTGGCACTTTTTGGCTGCCTTCTCTGCTGTCTATCACCCCCTGAATGGTGAGTCATTGCTATCCCTACCCACTTCTTCAGCTGTTCCCTACTGGTGCTACTGTCTCTCCCCCCACCTCCAGTTGCAATGGCTACCTGTGGCTATTTAAGTGGGTTGAGGTTGTGTCCTCTGTACTGTTGCGCCCATTGTACTGCCACCCTTCATCCTATGCATCTCCACTTCAACAAGTCACCCTGAGTCTTCAAGCCCCTTGAACACAACAGAAATACCTTGGTTCAGATTAAATCAAGCCCTGAAAAACTGGGATAATTTGTATTGCTGCTATTGGTATTGCAGCAAAATGATTTTGTGTCACTGCTAGGCCAACCATGTGGCTGCCTGATTAAGGCTCTAAAACTGGGCCAATTGTATTGCTGCTAATTTACACCACCAGAGTCAAACAATTGCAGTGCCTAGATTTAGTTGTAACTGACTAAATGAATCACAGCATCACCGGAGAAAAATCTCAAAATCAGACTGTTTGCAAGAGCCCCGGTGTTGACCACCCCCAGCACCTCTTCATTATACCAGCACTTTCGTTGTTTCACAGCTATTCTGTGCAGACTTATTGTTGTGTTATTACATACAAGAATTTACCTTGTATGTGGCTTAAGATCTATGTTGTTAAATGAATATTACATCATTTCCTAATCGTATCCAACTCTAAAAGTTCTACCCTACTATTGCCTCCCTCTGCATTGCCCGCTACTAGTGTTCTGGTTGGGGGTTATATAGAGTCTGAGAACGGGGAGATCACTAAGGTAGCAGAAATCCTATGTAAAATCATACCATGTATTTTTGACATTAATATTGAAATCTCAAATATATACAGAATGTATAAGGGTATGAAGAGAATATCAAGAAGAGAGCTGTATGGGGAGGAATGTCTAGATAGTTTTTAATTTGCCCCTATGAATCAAATGTGGTGTTTAATTTACACGACTTCTATCTTAATTGGTTAGTCTGTTTAATGAGGAGGGATGCATGCACTAGAAACGAGAGGGGTTTCTGTGTTTGGAATGTGGCCATCGAAGTGATTCAGGGCAGGAGGAGGTATGGGAGGAGGAGATAATCTTATCACCATCATGGGGAGCATAGGAGATTTATTATTGCCCCCAAATTGTCTCCTCCAGTAAGTAACTTGATGTCCAAGATGTCATCCCAACCCCCCAGGTTGAAACAGCTGCTGTTAAATGCCAGGTCAGTGAATGGCAAAACAACTATCATAATACTTTTTTTTTCTTATCCACATCTCCTCATGGCTAGATGTGGGTTAGAACATAGATAAAAACACATAATCATCTTAAACATTCCATAAAATACACATATTAAAATGTATTTGTATAAAATACATATTGAAATATATAGAACAAAGATTAAAACACAAGATGTGCATTTAAAATTGATAGTTAAAACTGCCTGGCTAGGCCTGCCAGAAGAGATAGGTCTTTAGATTCATTTATTTTTAAATTCTGACAGCTGATTTAGCTGTTGGGTCTCTTCCGGCAGGTCATTCCCCTGGATTCTATTGGATGGCACCATGATAGTTCAGGTGCTATGAAACTATTATAACTGTGCTGTGCAGATACCATTCTCAGTGATCTGTAGCAATTTTAAATAGTTTTCATACCAGCAAGCAGTGATAAAGCTGAATGGACTTGTTCAGCAGTTTAGTGAAAAGGAACTTACAATTTCAGGAGCTTCGCCATATCCTGGTGTTAAATTTGATGAGGAATTCTGTAGAAGACTGAAAGAGGGGACACGAATGCAGCCTCCGGATTATACAACACCTGAAATGTAAGAATGTTTTTGGATATAAATAAACCTTGTTTCATGAATTGATAGCTCGTGTAGAAAAGAGCCAGGAAAAATATATGACATACAAGCAGTACTTTGGTAGTAATGAGTAGACGGAGAAACCACAGGAATACAAATCTGTCTAGCCATTTTGTTTTCTTTTGATAATAAGTGGACTTTATTTAGAGCAAAAGTAAGGGATCACACGACTCTCTAGCTGTTATTGTCCCAGCAGCCGTACCAAATGAAACCAATAGTGAAGAATGCTTGGAAGTTTATTTCAATCGGTACCACATTTCCTAATTCTGATTACTCCAAATATCTTTGTTTCTCCAGTTATCAGACCATGTTGGACTGCTGGCTTGAAGAACCCAAACAGAGGCCAACTTTCTCAGATTTAGTGAAACACCTGGGAAACTTACTGCAAGCAAGCGTACATCAGGTGTGTTTTTCCTATTTAAAATGCCATGAATTGATGATTTTTATGCTTTGTCTGAATGTTTAAATTTTATGTATGTCTTATGTTTAATGGTTTTTATGATTTTACATTCACAGTTATATGTAGTAATTAGTTTCTTTGTTGTATTGTACGTTGGCATTTAATTTTTGTCATTAGTATGTTATAAACCACCTTGAGTCCCCCCCCAGTGGTGAGAAAAGTAATATATAAATACAGGAAAATAAATAAAAATAAATTAATTCTCCCCAAAAAAGAAAAATACTTATTTTGGGCTTGTTTTTACATCAGGGTGGAAAGGACTATGTTGACCTTCCTCAGATTGCATTGCTGAATACTGAGGAAGATTCTGAACGCTCTGCGCCAACTTTCCCTATTCCTTGCAGAGAAGAAAAGGAACTCTGTAATACTCAATCTCATTATGACAGCACACTGGAAATGAGGTTAGTAACATAAGAGATATGTTAAGCATTTCCACTTCAATTTGTGTGTGTGAGTGAGTAAGATGTTAGGGAGATTCAGGAAGGCTTTAATGTTGTTCTTTATCTGTGTCAAACAAGGCCACAATATTCACCAGTCCTATACTACTGATTCCCTGCTCAGAAGGCACCAACACAGAATGGACTCCTGGCAAAATAAATAAATAAATCCAGAGACAAAATATACAGATGAAATAAGGAAAATCTCTAAGTTGGGAGATAACACAGAAGAGATCGGGAGTCAAAATATGATGCCAAACCAAATCTCCACTCTTGATTGGTGATATAGAACTTTCCAACAACAGATGGTAAAGAAAAAAGATTCCCTAAAGACTGTGGAAAATGGAACGAAAAACTTTGGGACTGAGCAAAAGAGAAAGGGGAGAAAAAAAACTCTTTGTCAATATAAGATCAAGAAGAATGTTAGTTTTATTTGGTAATTTAAAATGTTGAGTACTGATTCATATATATTTTAAATAATACAATTAATGTTTTGAAACCCCTCGTGTAAGAGATATTAGATCAGCGGTTCTCAACCTGGGGGTCGCAACCCTAGAGCAGTCGATTGGCAATATGGGAGGGTTTGCAACAACTGTCTTGTTTGGCCCTGCCCCCTTTGAGTCCCTGGAATGGCTGCTGGGCAACCTCTGGGAGCCAAACAGCCAGCCAGCATCTTCCTACTTTAGAATTCTATTATTATTATTATTATTATTATTATTATTATTATTATTATTAAGCAGAGCCAGAATTGCCATCTGTCAGGAGTGTTTTGATTGTGCTTTTCCTTTATGGCAGAAGGAGGTTGGACTGGATGGCCCTTGGAGGGTTCTTCCTACTTTAAGATTTTATTATTATTGTTGTTGTTATTATTATGCAGAGGTAGAATGACTATCTGTTGTGGGGGCTTTGATTGTGTTTTCCTTGCATGAAGGCAGAAGGGGGTTGGACTGGATAGCCCTTGGAGGTCTCTTTGCACTTTAAGATTCTGTTGTTGTTGTTGCTGTTAAGCAAAGGCAGAATGGCCATCTGCCAGGAGTGTTTTGATTGTGCTTTTCCCTTATGGAAGAAGGAGATTGAACTGGATGGCCTTTGGGGGTTTCTTTCTACTTTAGATTTTTATTATTATTATTATTATTATTATTATTATTATTATGCAGAGGCAGAATGACCATCTGTTGTGAGGGCTTCGATTGAGCTTTGCTGCATGAAGTCAGAAGGGAGTTGGACTTGGATGGCCCTTGGAGGTCTCTTGCAACTCTAGGATCCTATTACTATTAAATCACTGTGAATTCCTCCCAAACCCCTCCAGTATTTTAATAAGCGGGGATGAATGATAAAGATACATAGTAGATTAAGAGTATATAAGTATATGCAATACTAACCTACTAACAAATAGACTTAAGTAATAGCTTTCTAAGTATACTTTGGCAATAAAAAGCAACAACTTAACAGGAAGAACAAAAAAAGAATTTTCAAGAACAAAAGGAAAGAAGACAACCAACTGAAAACAAAGAAGACATGATCATTGAGTTTAAAGAACAATACGATTCCTCTTTTCTATTCACTCTCCAAAAATTCACTCTCCAAAAATTTTAGTAGTTTAAACAATGAGTGTTAAGGTAGTAGAGACCAAAAACTGGATGTAATGCAATACAATGCTTTAAAAGGTTTTTTACTTGTTTTCCTCACCACCCTCCTTTCTCTTGATAGTTTATCAGATATGTGTTAAAATCTTTAAATTACTAACAATAACATAAATAAATCCTAACCCCCCCCCCCTCACTTCCATACTATACGTGGTGGAAAAAATATTAATAAAAAATCTTGTAAAAAAAGAAGTCCTGCATTTATTTTACTGGTGATACACACAGTAGAACAGCATGTTCAGCGTGTGCCCAGAAGGTTAAAGGAATAATACATAAAATACAAAACAAATACGAAGAACATGAAGCCATATCTTCTGCAAATCATAAATTCCCCGATTCTGTGGGATTCTGGAAGTTACTATTCAAAACTAGAAAGATTCCAAGCCCTATGTTTTACCTGGTACTCTTGGCAAAATAAAGATGGCGTTTTTCTTTCCTTTTGTTTCCTTGTGTGACTTAAATTCCTGAGATCCCTGAGAATACCATTTCCTCACATGTAAATCTCTTCCATGAAAGGAACTTTCAGTCTCAGTTTGCCAGATTAAGCAAGCAGGTGGATCATGTTGAACTACGCATGTAAATATGACTTATCCCTCTTTTGAAAAGAGGTTGCATTTTGGCTGTGTGAGCTTTAGTCACCTTTAGTTGATATTTTCTCACTGAAATGAATCTTTAAGTCTTGGTTTGCTCCAAACACATGCAATTGGCTAAAGGATCTAGAGTTTTACTCTGTTTTTAGTGATCTTCATTTACATGATGCTCATTTTAAGGTTTGAAGTTTCTTAGAGCATGGAACTTCTCAGAGCTTGGAATACTTAAAAACAACTTGTACTGAACTGCTTGTACAGATTACTATTTCACCATAAATAAGACCTCACTTAGTTATGTTATGGCTGTAACATAAGAAGTAGTGATTTTGCTACTTTTAAATTGCAATTTTGTTTTTGTTTTTTGTTTTTTTATGGTTACTGAAATGTGAAACTACAGGCCAAGCTTGTGGTATTCTGATTTTAAAAACAACTAAAAGTAGCTACTTTAGTTACTTTTAAATAACAGATAATTTGTTTTAAAAAATGTTTGCATAATGTAACTAACTTTTCCTGTTTTCAGCCTGTATGTAGTTACCGTATATACTCGAGTATAAGCCGACCCAAATATAAGCTGAGGCACTTAATTTTACCGCAAAAAACTGGGAAAACAGATTGACTCGATTATAACCCGAGGGTGGGAAATGCAACAGATACTGGTAAATTTCAAAATAAAAATAGATACCAATAAAATTACATTAATTCAGGCATCAGGAGGTTAGATGTTTTTGAATATTTACATAAAACTGTAAGACTGCTCAACTCTGATTAAACCATTCTGACCGTCTTCAATGTAAATGTGTGTAAAAGTATAAACGTTCACCTGGACAAGGGGGACAAGCAATCACACCCACTGTCCTTCAGCTTACAGGGTTATCGCTCAGCTGGACACTAATCAACTAAAGATAGTTAACTATAACCAGGGGGGAAAGACTATCTTGTCCCACTTTAATTCTTTATCTATTAAGTGACCAACTGTGATGTAGTTTTAGACCGATGTATTTGTTAAATCACTGCCACCACCTCAATTGAAAATGGTCTGAGGAAAACCATATGTGTGAAGGTGAAAAGAGGCAAAGTTGTATTTAAGCTCTTTGTCCTTCTTTGACCACGGGTACTTATGCTGACTGGACTGAGAGAAATCTTCTTTAAGTTTAGCTGAGATATAAAGGTTGGGATAGACTGAGACAGACACCAGGTTAAAGGTGAAAATAAGTAACAGGTTTATTTTAGAACTTAATGAACAGAACAACTCTTAAAAAGAGTGGTACAATAATCTTGATGCAGTTCCGTTTCTTGAGGCTTAGCTGGTTTCAAAGAGGCAGTCTCACTTAAAAGGCTTCAACTTTCTGTTTCACAGTGAGTTCCTTGTCCCCACACTGATCACTAACTGACACAGTGTGTCTTCGAGCACAGTACACAAACTGTCTCCCAGAGCAACTCAGAGCTTCCCTTTCACTGTCCCTACTCTGACAAGTGAACCAGGATCCTCTGCCTATTCCTTGCTCTACTTTCTCAAGGCTCACACAAAAGTCTTCCCTCCCTGCCTAAGATCTCCACAGCTCTCTCTTCCTCAAATATACGTCTTTACTCTACGATGTCTAAACTCCAACTCCCCCACTTGTCAAATAAGCCAGCCTTTTTTCCCTCTAAATCCTAACTCCACCCCTGACTGTCCTAACCAATCAGGAGTCGGCTGACTCCTCCCCCTGCTCTGCCTGCCTTCCAAGATGACAGCTACTGTCATGCAGGCCTCGGCCTTGTCGTCTTAAAGGTAGATTTCATGACAATGTGCTTGCGTACCCTTCCAATAAAAATAAATAGAATAAAATAATAAATGTAATAATAACAATAATAAATAGAGTAAAATAATAAATGTAATAATAACAATAATAATAATAAATAGAGTAAAATAATAAATGCAATAATAACAACAATAATAAAGTAATAATAATAATAATACATTTATTACGTATTTATAACAGAGTAAAATAATAAATAACCTTGACTCGAGTATAAGCCGAGAGGGACATTTTCAGCCCCAAAAAAGGTCTCAAAAACTAAGTTTATACTCGAGTATATACAGTATTTCTTTAAAAAATGACATTTCAAATCCTGACTTCTTTGGAAAACTAAGCATTTTCCTAGGAAAACAAACAACTGCCCAGGTATACTGTTTATATGACCTTACAAACAATGTTGTCAATAAACTGTATGACAAAATTAAATAAAAAGCTAAGATTTCATAGCTGATGTTTTCTGTGTAGGAATTGTGAAGGTCATTTTTTGTTTTTCTTGCTCAAATGTGTAATATATATTCCAAGAGATAGATAGATAGACAGATAGATAGATATGCACACACATACATACACATATAGTTGTAGAATTATTCTGATGGGTATTCCTTTTGTCTTTTCGTGGGGTTTTTTATTCATTATTTTGTATTTTGTATACTACATTAAGAACTAAGAACCAAAGAAATAACAAAAATGGAACATAATACCATTTATAGCTTGGTTGTGTAGAATAAATAAAATATATTACTACAAATAAATATACATATTATTTATAAAGAAAATGCAATAGGATTTACTAGTGAATCAACATATGTGGACACATCTTTTTGATGGTAATAATAATAATAATAATAATAATAATAATAATAATAATAATTGGACTCAGAGGATTACAACACACATATGAGGAAAACATTCAATGCCATTTACACACAGTGAACAACGACATATGTAGTGAATCTTACCTAGTAGGCTGG